GTCGGAACATCTGGGGGGTACTTTATAGGTGGTTATTTTTATATTTTATGGAATATATCTGTTATTTACGTTTGGAGAAGAAAATTCTTCAAATAAAAGTTACTTCTAATATTATCTATAATTTTTGTTTTATACAAAATTTTCCTAAAATGGTCCGTATTCGAGAAATTTGACAAAATGTAAAAAAATTTTTTTTATAAAATTTGTTCAAATAAAAGTTGTTTGTAATATAATTCTCTATAATTTTTATACTATACATAATTTCTCTAAAATGGACCGTATTCGAGATATTTAAGAAAATGTGTAAATTTCGAATTTTGAAGAAAACTCAAAAACGGATAAAGAAAAAACCATAAATTTTAAACTTAAGTTTTATTTCGGCCTGACGTGAAATGATTGGATTTTAGACAAAGTCGGAACATCTGGGGGGGTACTTTATGGGAGGCCGTTTTTATATTTTATGGAATATATCTGTTATTTATGTTTGGAGAAGAAAATTGTTCAAATAAAAGTTACTTCTAATATTATTATCTATAATTTTTGTTTAATGTCAAATTTTCCTGAAATGGTCCGTACTCGAGAAATTTGACAAAATGTGAAAAATTCTGATTTTTAAGAAAATTGTTTAACTAAAAGTTGTTTGCGATATTGATCTTTATAATATATTTAGTTTATCCTCTAAACATTTATAGAGGTGCTGCAATAGGTTGTACAAAATAACCGGAAAAAGCCTATAATAACTAGATAGGAAAGTCATGTGTTGGACACATCAAATTTTTAATTAAAAAATTAGATCAAATCATCCGAAGTGTTTCATCATTGTATTCAGCATTGAACATAAATCAAAATAATATATCGGATTTACACTAGTCCATATTCAAATAAAGAAGTTGATGATGGTTCTGCAGTTACGAAACGTATAATAAAAGAAAATACGTAATTATATGCGCAATTTAATATAAAACAAAAAAACTTTATGCTTTTTTGTCTATTTTTGAAAATAAACATATAAAGAAATGGAATTAGTTTTTCATTAAATATCTTTGAAACTTACACTTACATGTTTTGGTTTTCAAATTGTCTTGAGTTTTGGCTTCAAATGATACAACTTTTTCCACATTTAACCTATTAAAAAGTGCTCAAAACAATTTTGTCTATTTATCGTTTTTTTGTTACCTTTAAAACATTTAAAATACATTTATTTGAGTGTACTGCAAAATGCAAATAAATTTATAGTTTTTTTTGAAAAATTTTACAAAAAATTGTATAATATAAAACTATAATTCGAGGGTCGTTAAATTGTTGGTTCCTACCTTATCTGTTTTCATGTTATTTAAGGATTAAGTTCTTCAAATTACAAGCCCTGGCTTTTAAAAACCATTCCATCTCTCATTTCGATTTGGGTTTAGAAATAGTTTCAAATTCAAACAATTTATATAAAAATATTTGGGCCCTTTTCCGTTTAATCCTGCTCATGTAAAAATGTATGAACCCTTTACTCCATTATCTGTCCATATAAAATAGTTGGTACACTTACTTCTTCATTCTACACATATAAAAATATTTGGTCCCTTTATCCCTTACGCCTGCCCCTGTCAAAATATTTGACTGCTTTACCTCTAAAGCCTGTCCATGTATTAATATTAGGCTTTTATTTACATCTTATGTCACCATGTAAAAATATTAGGTCCCTTTTTTTGTTAAGCCTGATGTCCATATCAAAATATTTGGTCTTTTTACCCCTTAAGTGGGAGTAAGAAAAAAATTTTCGTCTGGCTCGTTAGGTAGTAATTTATTTTATGTTCTGTTCTGACGATTGTTATATGTTCTTGTAATGTCTATTTAAAAATGAAGTTTATTATTATTAAAAAAAAAACAAGTAAATTGAGAAAACTAAGAAAAACAAAGAAAAACAAAGAAAAACTAAGAAAAACGGCTAAGAAAAACGACTAAGAAAAACGACTAAGAAAAACGACTAAGAAAAACGACTAAGAAAAACGACTAAGAAAAACGACTAAGAAAAACGACTAAGAAAAACGACTAAGAAAAACGACTAAGAAAAACGACTAAGAAAAACGACTAAGAAAAACGACTAAGAAGAACGACTAAGAAAAACGACTAAGAAAAACGACTAAGAAAAACGACTAAGAAAAACGACTAAGAAAAACCACTAAGAAAAACGATTGATAGAAATTACTAAGAAAAAGGACTAGGAAAAACAAAATAACTAAGAAAAAACATTCGCGTGCTGCACCGTACACGTGAGAGAAGTAAAACTTCTTAAAAACTAGAGAATAAGAGAGATAATAGGTGTGTGTGTGTGTAAGAGAGATATATAATAATTGATTAGGCAGTCCAACGATAGTTGACAGTTGGCACTTAGCAATGTAATTTACAATGATATACATATTTATATAGCTTGCCCAAAACGGTATTGCCTCTTATCTCTCTTTCTACTCCACTTTACCCCACTATACTTTTGGCCTACCTTTACTGTACCTTCACTCAACCCCACTCTACCCCACGTTACCTCACTACTCTACTTTACCTCACTACCCCTCTCTACCTCACTTTACCACCTCACTCTATCTCCATTCTATCCCCACTCTACCCCCATTCTATCCCCACTCTACCCCCACTCCATCCCCATTCTATCATCACTCTACCCCACTCCGCCTCCCTCTGCCCCTCACATTACCCGCCACTTTACTCAACTTTACCTCACTCCACCTAACTCTCTCCTCCCCACCCCCCACTTTACCCCACCCATTCTACTCCTACTCTACTCGATCCACTCTACCGTACTCGATCCACTCTACCCTACTCGATCCACTCTACCCTACTCCATCCACTATACCCTACTCCATCCACTATACCCTACCCCACCTACTCTAACCTACTCCATTAGCCCCACGCCACTCTACTCCATTTAATCCCCTCCGCTCCGTCTCCACTCCAATTCATTCTGCTCCGCTCTCCACTTCACTCCTCTGCGCTCTCCACTCCACCTCGTATCTTTCAAACAGAAAAATCGTATATAAACTCTCAAGGTTAATGTTCTTTTAATTTCGTGACGTTATCATGGTTACTTGCGTTATACGTTACACCTTACATGTCCTTGAAAGTTCACTCTCCATTCTCGCCAAATATCGGACCACTGCCTACTCATCAAATATCGAATCGCGGCCTAAGAATATAAATATAGACAACAAGGAAAAACAACTAAGAAAAACAATTTAAGAAAAAGTAAACCAAGAAAACAGATGAAAATACATTTTTTCTACACCCACATGGATATTAGCTTATATACGCACAGATTACAGAACGAAAAAGTATACTATTGCCTTCAATTGAACGAATATATTTCATATCCATTCTAGATAGTGAGAACACTTTAAAAAAATGAAATCCACCGATCACCGTTCATATTTTGATCAACCGGCTGCTATTATTTTTACAATTTTAAATAAGTGACAATTCTGTCATACTGTCAATATATTTTTTAGTTATTGAGATTAAACATATATTAAAATGGGTTATTCTTGTGTAGAATCGATAAATAATAGCATTTCTGTTTTTATTTCCTCTATGATTATAAATAATTTGTTAATTTAAATAAAATTATATAAAGTCAATTTAATTACGAGTATTAAAGCAACAAAAATAAAAGAATAGGTGGTTCTGTGGTTAGCGTTCTTGCCTTCCGCACTGAAGACTCGAGTTCGATTCTCGGATGGGGAAAAATGAAAACTTTTTTTTCTCGTTTATTTTATTTTAAAAATGATTAAAAGTCAAATATGAGTTATTTTGCCTCAATAACCTAAAATTTTTTTTTTTATTTGTACATTTTCGTTAGTGGGTTGAAAAAATATACTGTACTACTCGAGTGGATTGTCCACATCGCACTCAGACGATTTCGTCTTCGTGCGATATGGCCATCATATCCACTCTTGTTAAACAAACTACTATTTTTGTGTAAAATTTTTGACTTTCCTTTTCTATACACTCTATTGACAGATCTTGCGATGATGAAATTTTTTTGTTTCTACCGATTTGAATATAGAGTTTTACTAGCATTATAGAGTACGAAATTTGTATGATTTGTCACAGATTTATAGTCTGCTTCGATAATTTTTTTGTCGACTATGTCCATTAGGGTCAGACGAGATAAAATCCAACATACCTATCACATAAGAACCTTTGTAAACAAGTCTCTCAGTTATTCACAAAATAATAAAATACCTTTTAAATATTTATGGTCACAAAAAAAGGTTCTGATGTTCAGTTTTGCTTTTATCTCGTACGGATTCAGTAATATCGCGTAAAAGTGTCGAATTTGGACCACCCTATACATCAGGAATTTTACTGCAGCTATAACGGCGAATTTATTGTCGTAATGATTTTTTTTGACTGCATTGTTTAAAAAACTAATAAACCATTAAGAGCGACTATAAAATTATAAAAGTACTAGTTTGCATGCGTATCGTAATTATCTTGATAAATGGATAGGTATTCTTACGGGATGGTCCATCTTTAAAATTTTCAAACATTCGCAAAAAAATTAAAAGAGGTATTTAGGATTTAAATATACATTTTTTGCTTTAACAAAAAAAATTTGAGGGAATTCTTTTACCACATTATTATCTACATATTTTATTTGAATAAGAATAATTTCATGGCCGTACCAGAATTTTATATAAATAAAAATTTCCTTGGTTTATTCGGTCGTTTTTATAAAAAATAAAAATAAAATAAAAACGACCGAATAAACTCAAAATTTGTAAGAATAATTTTTCTCCCCCTTGCGTTTTTATTTTTAGAATCATGCGACATATAAAAGGGTACCAATTCTTTTTTTAATTCGTATTTTCTTTGAACGATTTTCCACCCAAAATGTGTATTTCTCTACTATTTTTCCCTCAAAATTTCTGCCTTCGATTTAAGGATAGAGTAGTTATTCAGGGATCAAAAAATATTTACCTTCTTTCCAGATACCGAACATGTCTTCGGTACAAGTGCAAGTACTGAACCCGCCGCCCGTGAAGACGTCCAATCCTCCGGGCCATCACAACAAACAGAATGCGGGCAGTTCGAAAAGAAAAAACAAGTACGACAGGAGCAGCAGGAAGCGTTCGAAAAGTTTTTCCGGTTGCGGCATCCTGATCAACCAGAAACCCGTACTGCCGTCGAAATTTTTGCTCGGCGGCAACATCAAGGATCCCTTGAACTTGAATAGTCTCCAAGACGAAGAGATCAACAGGTAAGTGCGCCGACTCAGGAGGATAGGGGTTATCATATTAAAAAAAAAACAATTTTCTGGCATAAGTAATGAAAATTTCGGACATTTCGTTAATAATCCGGGCAAAATAAAAATCCGGACAAAATAGTAAAAATCCGGACAAAATAATAAAAATCCGGAAAAAATAATAAAAATCCGGACAAAAAAGTGCATACCGTCAAAAACGCCTAACAGAACTGTTTATACAGATTTTAAGTATACCTTAATACTTTAGATGATTTTCCAGAAAATTCCGAACAATTTATAATTGTCACAACATTCAAGCGATTTCGGTTATTAATTTGGTAGGGTTGCAACGTTGCAGTGATGCTGACGCTTTTTTTTGGCTCTTCACATTTTAAATCATCATGCATTAGCTAGTTTTAGTGCCGTCTTCACCTGCTTTGACTTCAGTTGGAGAATGATCGCAAGACTCTGAGGTTCCGGGTCAAAATGATGTTATAACCAACAAAGGGCTGTTTTGAATAATTACATAGAAATAAAATATTAAATCTGATTTCAAGCATTTTTAAATATTAAGTATTTATCAAAATCATATTAAAAAATGGCAGATGAATATTGGCTCGCAATAAATTGCAAACGGAAATACATCAGAGACCAATTTCTTCTTTGAATCAATTTTTCTTGCAGTATAATAAACAGTTTAAATGAAATATGGGTATGTTTTGTCCTTAGTGATTTACTCCTCGGATTTGTTTAGTAACGTCAACAAGGTTGACGTAACAATAGGGATGCCACACGGTTCTCACAGCGACCCTCTGCTGTTCGAACTCGTTTGTAGACAATATTGATGAAATTATAAACGTTTTTCTCTGTTTCTCTATTAGGGCAATGAACGCCTTCACCCCCAAATCGTCGCCCGTCCCTACGCCTCCAAGGAAAAAAGGACAATTAGAAGTGATCATTCCGAAAAACATTCACGACCCGCTAAATTTGATAGACTGCGACGATGACGCCGAATATGAACAGCAACTCTGCTCGCCGATCAAAAAAGTAATTACACTCGTCGTTTCGCGATCCTACCAATTTAATAATCGAAATTTCTGTATTTCCAGTCGAAGAAAAAGCGTTTAAAGAAACGCCGCACCATCTCCGCCACTATGGACGTTTCCGACGTCACCGCTGACGTCACCGCTAGCTCGGAAGCGAAAACGCCCGAAGCGTCGACCGATTCCGCGAAAATTCCCGAAATACCGGAACCGGTTGCGACGACGAGCGCTACCGCTGTTGCGGCGCCATCTACCGTTGTTAAACCGCACCCCGATCTGTCCATCGACTTGTCGGGAGCGGCTAATACGTCAACGAGCGCTCCGGCTGTCAAGAAGGAGCCGAAGAAGAGGAAGAGCGACGAGCACGGGCATCACGTCGTGAAGAAGTTCAAGAACAATTCGATGGATAAGATCGTGAGTCCGGTGGTGCCGCAGCCGGGCGCTTGGTTGAAGAGGAGCAATTCGGTGAACAAGTGGGCCAAGCCGAGACAAGTAAAGCCGCAGGATAAGGACGCCACGTTGCCGGCGTTCAAAGAGAAGGATAAGCTGTTCCAGTACGGGAATTATAACAGGTGAGTGTAATAATTATATTATTTTCTTAATGTGTTGGTTAGGTATATTTTTTACCTATGATTACTATGGAAAGTAGAAACATGTTGTACACTTTTTTTCTATGGTTGCTTATTATTTGTTAAATTAACATTATTAGTCAGCAAAATTTATGCCTTATAAAAGTAAATAGATATATAATTATCGAGTAATGCCATTTAAGGAACAATTGTGTTTCTTAGAGGGTCTGAATACAACATATTTGTCTTTAGAGAAAAAACGTTTGTATAAGGTTGTTGTGTAAATATTCTCAAAAATCAACGACGTTTTATTGTAAGCTAAGAACTAAGAAAAACTAAGAAAAAATAAGAAAAAATATAAAAAACTAAGAAAAACTAAGAAAAACTAAGAAAAACTAAGAAAAACTAAGAAAAACTAAGAAAAACTAAGAAAAACTAAGAAAAACTAAGAAAAACTAAGAAAACTAAATAAGAAAAACTTAGAAACACTTCAAACTCTTAAAAACTCTTACAACTCCTAAAAACTCTTTAAAATCCTTTAAAACCCTTAAAAACTCTTAAAGACTTTTAAAAACTCTTAAAAATTCATAAAATGAGATATTGATAATTTTCAAGAAAGATTAAGTTGAAAAATTAAATAATCTAAAACAAATCGTATAAACATTTTGTTTCGATTTAATTATTGAACTTTTCTTTTCCCTCTCGTATCTAATCAGCGTTTAAAATGGAAAATGTAAATATGAAGCTCGGTCGAAAAAGACCTGAAAAATGGATTAAGGTTGATGAAACACAATGGACAATCAGCGAGTGGAGAAACAAACAGCACCAGCGCGCATCACGTTTGGCGGAGATTCCCCGAAAAGTAGGTCAAACGTAAACGCGACGTTTTTCATTTTTCCTACTTCATTTCTGGCTGGCGCGTCGGCTTCCCTAAGCGCTTTTAATCGAGTTCTGTAATTCCAATGAATGGAAATGTACTCGCGTTATATTTGAGCGACTATTTGTAGAAAAGTAAGCGCTGGTAATCGTTTTGAGTTCGTTGAGTCTTCTAGATACATTAATTTTCTTGCTTCATCTTTGCATAAAACCAATAACTGCCGTTTTTGATAAACTTTTTGTTTATTTTAAACGCCACTATTAAAAACATATTTTCATGTTGATATAATGTGTTACAAGGGGAGTTAAACAAGTTGATACTCAACTTGATTTTTAATTTGCCTTTATTTTATTATTGATTTTTATTGAATATACTTATTTTTTTCTAGTTTAAGCGATAAAAATATATATTAATAATAAATTAATGTTTTACTTGTTTCACAAATCCATATACTTATATTAAAACTAACATATATACTTTTTAATTACGAATTATATTGTATTGTTAGTTTAGTGAAAAATAGTCCATTAGTACAAAAAAGAATTGGCGATACTTATGCAGTGTGCATCCAAAGTAAGGAATAATTTGTCATAATATTCGGATCTACAGGGTGATGCGTGTAAATAATAATAAAAATACACTTTCCACGTCTTTATAATCATTATTTTTATTTAAAAATTTTCTCATGTAAGATAACAAACAATTACATTACCATTATTTTCAATTAGATGGAGTATCAGAATATTGAATGGCGGTTGATATTTAAAAAACCCAGATGGTGCCACTACATTTACACGCTAGTATCTCTTTTATTTAGGAATGCATTTGGATAAAAGTTTGGACAAACCTATTACACATAATTTTGAAATCACACTTGTAGTTAAACAAAATGGCTGACTTCCGGTTTAACTGGAAATGTTATTTAGTTTGATTTTTTATAGGATCACCCAATACGTTTTTTGTTTTGAAATCTACGATTCAAATTGTATATGACAGTGTTCTCCGATTTTTATTTTACCTATACAATTTTGTTTTCAATTTTTTGATTTTTTTTATTTTGTTTTTTATTTTCTTTTTATTTTAATTTGTTTTTTTTTTTTTTTCAATTAGGTACCAAACTAATTATTAAAATTGACGCCTTTTAAATCCAAAGCAACTATGATTTCGCCACTTTTAAAAAGAAATTGTGCGAATTTTTCATATTTTATTTTATATGTGTCATTTGTAATACTAGTCCAGGTAGGAAAAATAGCGGAAATTTTTAGGGACAGCAGATATCGAGATGCGATTTTCTGCATTGTGTTTAGGAAGGTCCCAGGAAAAAAGTCTATATCGTCTGGTTTAGCCATTTTTGGAAAAATGCCTTCTGGGCCGGAAAATGCATTTTCCAATTGCGTCATTACTTGCACCATTATATGAACGACTGGAAAAATCGCTCGGAAATCGTTACTAGGCTGTTTTCGGGGCTGCCGAACTCGATTCTGGCATTAGAATTACCCGGGGGTGGCTTTGTGAGGGTGCACGGGGGGTCAATTGAGGGAGAAATGGCAGCGTGCATGAAAATCGCTTCAAACTCGTTACTCGGGGGCGGCTCTGCGGGGGTATCCAAGGGGTAATTCTGGGGGGAAATTGAATAGTCCATGGGAAGCGCTCCAAACTCGTTAATCGGGGGTTTTCGGGGATGCTGAATTCAATTCTAGCATTAGATTTCCCCGGGGGCGCTCGGGGTTGGCTCTGTGGGGTTGTCTGGTGGTGATTGGGGGGAAATGGCAGCGTACATGAAAATCACTCCAAGATCGTTATTCAGAGGTTTTTGGGGATACCGAATTCAATTCTGGCGTTAGACTTCCCCGGGGGCGCTCGTGCGTGGTTCTAAGGGAAATGGTAAAGGAGAAAGTGAAAAATTATAAATTATGAAAATAATACTTAATTCAAATAACAAATAGAAGTTTTATTAATGTTGAATTATTTATTATAAAGTTAAATACTAAACATCTTGTTTAAACTCTTCTTCTTCCCCTTCTTCATCTTCTTTCTCGTCACTATTCTCGGCCCCGCTGGAAGTGCCTTTTTGGTTTGAGCAATTGCCATCGCAATGCTTGCATGCAAGTGAGCACTCCAACCCACTTCGGCGGCACTCGCACCTCGTGCCACAGTCGGTTTCACAAGAACAAGAAATTTTGCTTAAAATTTCTTCGGGCCCGACTTCCAACGGATCTAAGGTCTCGTCTTGACCTTGTGAACCATACCAAGCCTTTATTTGGAAATAGACACGCTTGATATTCTCGGTTAACGCATTGGCAGTTGAGATTTTCTTGGACGTTGCCATTTCTTCCCCAATCACCCCCAAACAACCCCACAGAGGGAACCCCGAGCGCCCCCGGGGAAGTCTATTACCAAAATTGAGTACGGCATCCCCGAAAACCCCCCCGAGTATCGATTTTGGAGTGATTTTCATGGACGCTGCCATTTCCCCCCTCCCCAATTGCCACCCCCGAGCGCCCCCGGGAAAGTCTAATGCCAGAATTAAATTCGGCATCCCGAACACACCCGAGTAACGATTTTGGAGTGATTTACATGGATGCTGCCATTTCCCCCCAAATCACCCCCAGACAACCTCACAGAGCCACCCCCGAGCGCCCCTGGGGAAATCTAAGGCTAGAATTGAATTCGGCATTCCCCAAAAACCCCCGAGTAACGAGTTTGGAGCGATTTTCATGCACGCTGCCATTTCTCCCCAAGTCACCCCCCGCGTTTCCCCACAAATCCACCCCCGTGCACCCCGGGATAATTCTAATGACAGAATCGAGTTCGGTAGCCCCGAAAACCCTCGAGTAACGATTTCCGAGCGATTTTTCCGAGTTTCCAGTCGTTCCTATAATGGTGCAAGTAATGATGTCATTGGAAAATGCATTTTCCGGTCCAGTAGGTATTTTTCAAAAAATGACTAATTCAGACGATATAGACTTTTTTCCTGGGACCTTCCTGAAGACAATGCAGAAAATCGCATATCGACATCTGCTGTCCCTAAAAATTTCCGCTATTCCGGTCGATTTTGATCTAAATGCCCTGGACTATACCCACATGATATCGGAACGCAGTGAGTGACATTTGTAATACATAATATCGGAACGTAGTGAGTGACATTTGTAATACATGATATCGGGGGGGCTATTTTCAAAGTATGGGAGTACTCATTTCTCTCAAGATTCTCATCAGAAATGTCATACGTCAATGTGGAAATGTTGTTTTTAAAGGCATCGAGGATTAAAATTCTTAGGAAGATTTTAATTCTCTCTAAATAAACCGAGAGAAACAGTCAGTGAACAGTCACACTGGCCCTAAGAGCCCTAAAAATACGGTTTTACGTTGACGTATGACATTTCTCTTGAGAGAAATGAATTCTCTCGAGTTTGAAAATAGCCCCCCGGAACGCAGTGGAATGATATATGAAATGTCAGAGCAATGTCAAAAAATTCATATTATTTTTTAAATTTTAATTTAATTCTATTGAAGCAAATTGTGAATCTAAACCATTCTCGGGTCATCTTAATCGCATTCGCATGGACGAAATTTCAGAAGAATCAGTAGAGTCCAGGAGGAGTTTAATGACATACATACGTATATTAGGTCTTTTCCTTTGCATCGAAAGTGTAGCGCTGAGCTACGTCACTTCTGAAAATATCGTTCTATCCATACAATTTGTATAAACGGAACGATATTTTCAGAAGTGGTGTAGCTCAGTGCTACACTTTCGATGCAAAGGAAAAGACCTATTAGCTGCCAGAATGAAAATGACAAATCGTACTGAAGAACATTTTAAAACGTACTGAATTTCAAAAAACGTACTGAATAACCAACTTTCAAAAAATGTACCAACATCTAAATCGAACAACTCAAAAATGGCTGGAGCTTTAAATTCATTATCCATTAAATAACATTTTAAACCTTTACAAAAATTTTACCCTATAGGAACAAATGGACTGGGCCGCAAGTGAAATAAAAATGATTTTCTTGTGGTTTAACACTTATTAAATTATATAATCTTTATGTATAACAGAAAAAACGTCTTAATCTACTTTACTTTCAGAATTACAACCAAACGTTGAATATATTTCAATTTCAAATAAATTATTTGACTCATCACATGACTTAACTGTCAACTGTCATCCGTCGTTGATAAAATACGTCACTTTTTTAAAAAATATCCAAATAGTACTGAAAACGGTACTGAATTGACTATTTTTGCCAAAAATGTACTAAAACTACTGTAAAAGTTGAAAAAGTATTGAATTCAGTGCAAACGTACTGAATCTGGCAGCCTTGATTGTTCTCAGATGATTTTTCTAGCAGCTTTACAATTTGAATCGATACCAAGAATTGATATCTTTTAGCCAAATCGGAAACTCTAATTTGACATTCCTCTTTCAGGTATTATGGTTACAGGAACCCTCACAACGAAACGGACCACAGGTTGCGCGTTTTCTCTCACCACTCGTACCTGTTCGAAAGCAAAGACATCCTGGACATCGGTTGCAACATCGGCCACGTCACGTTGTCGGTGGCGCGAGATTTCGGCGCCAAATCGATTCTCGGCATCGATATCGATCCCAAATTGATATCGATAGCGCGCAAAAACGTCAAGCACTACGTCAAGAAGGAGGAACTGTCTCCGCCGAAGGCGGCGGGCGGCGAGGATAAGGGGCGGGCTCAGGCCCGGACTAAAAGTAGTGAGTTTTTTCCTATAAGTATGCCTATATTATACGGGGGAATTGCAGTTCCAGGATTCCACGATACGCACGCCAAGGCCAAGGGATTCCCCAACAACGTGACTTTCAAACAAGTGAGTACAATTTTTTGTACGAATTTCATTTTACTTTTAAAATAGTCAGTGACCTAGATTTGTACACGACCTATATTAACTTTAAGTGGTTATTTGTTTATTTTTTTACAGTGTAATTACATTCTCGAAGACGATAATCTCTTAGCTTTAGAACAGCCGCAGTTCGACGTCATTCTGTGTCTGAGCATCACGAAATGGTTCCATCTGAACTGGGGAGATGCTGGATTGAAACAGGCGTTCAGACGGATGTATGCACAACTCAAACCTGGCGGGAAACTTATTTTGGAACCGCAAAATTGGGCGAGTTACAAGAGCAAGAAAAAATTAACGGTGAGTAAAGATAAATGCTTTCGTGGTTTTCTTTCTCTTTTTAAGCTACTTCAAAAAAAAGAGGAGAAGATTCTTAATTCGTATGAATATTTTTTTATGTAGTTATGTTCATTAATTATTAACCACGTTGTTAGATTTCTATTATTTATAAAGACATTTGGTCAAGATCTGATGATGGGATCCATAAAAAAAACATCAAACTCTTCCTTTATGGAATTTTTTTAATTACTATTATTATAATTCGGCTAAAGATTTTAGAAAATCATTACGATATTTTTTCTGAATGAATGTCTTTGTGGACTCATGGTAAAATTTCACGATGTTTCTCATCATTGTAGGATTACGCAACTTTGTTTTTCGTTTCAGTATAGATATCATGTAACTTATTTCTAAATATGTCACCCCGATTTTCTACAATTTTTTGACTATGCTACATGTTTAATTTGTTTTTTATTACTCAATTTTTTGGTTATTTGTTTATTTACACCCTTAGCCGTTTTGGTTTCTTTTTTATCTGATTTAGTATAATATGCTTTGGAACCTGTATCTAAAAATATACTGATTGCCGTATTTTGATATTCATCCTTCACATTTTATAATATTCATTTAATTACTAGCAGGTTAAATTTATTTGCAAATATCTCTCAATAATTCATTATTATAATAAAATTATCTAGATATTTAGTTTTGAACATTTTTTGTGTTATTAATATTTTAGCTGCATTTAATATTAATAAAGTGTGGACGTACCGGGGTGAAGCTGTCTGGGTGTTTTAAATATGATTTTAATGAAGTATTGATGTGGGCAATCTTATTAGATGAAGGAACATATAGAGAAACTTGATAATATTTACCCTTGTAACTTATTTAAAACTAAAAATAAAACCCCCAACAATTATAATTGATAATTTCCTTTAATCATTTTCTTTGATAATGTACTGTAACAATATTTGTTTGCTTTTTTATAAGGTTCTATGGTCATTTTCTTTGATAATGTTCTTTGACAATGTTCGTTGATAATTGTCATTGATATTCTTTTGTAAAATGATGTTTTTTATGTCATTCTACAATAATTAAAATTCTTTGATAATGTTCTTTGAAAAAGTATTTTAATAATTTGTTATGCTTTTTTATGTTTTTTGATAATGTTCTTTAGTAATGGTCTTTGCTTTTTGATAATGTTCCTTGATAAGGTTTTTTGACAATGCTCTTTGATAATGTTCCTTGATAAGGTTTCTTGACAATGCTCTTTAATAATGGTCTTTGATAATCCTCTGATAAATTTATTTGATAATGTTCTTGGATAATATTCTTTGATAGTGTTCTATGATAGTGTTCTATGATAATGTTCTATGATAATGTTCTTTGTTCATATTCTTTCATAATGTACTTTAATATTTTTACGCTTATTTACAATGTTTATTGATAATTTTCTTTGATAATGTTCTTTGCTCTTTGATAATGTTTCTTGATGAAGTTTTTTGACACTTCTTTAATAATGGTCTTTGATAATTCTCTGATAAATTTATTTGATAATGTTCTTGGATAATGTTCTTTGATATTGTTCTTTGACAATGTTCTTTGATAATGTACACTAATATTTTTTACACTTATTTATAATTTTTATTGATAATTTTCTTTGATAATGTTCTTTAGTAATATTCTTTAATGTTTTTTTATAATGTTCTTTAGTAATGTTTTTGATATTATTTTTAGGAAACTATATTTAAACATTACAATTCCATCGAGTTTTTCCCGGAAAAATTCCGGGAATACTTGTTGTCTCCGACGGTGGGTTTCGCCAAAGGCGAAATTTTGGGATACCCTTTCCATCAAGTCAAAGGATTCAGACGTCCGATTCAAGTGTTCACCAAAAGTACGATGTTTCCCAGCGAACGGACCGAAGCCACGCCGCACAGCATTACGCCTAGCGTAGGGGGCGCTTCTGATTCTTACCGGTAAGTTTTCACCCAATTTTTGGAGAGTTATAATGCCTACTTAGCATTGATTCATGTGGTTCGGTGTTACCATATCCACTCTACAAATTCCCTAGATCTGGGGAAAAATCGATAAAAGTAAAACCAAGTGTCTTACTATTTAGACAGGTAGCAATTTTAAATAAGGGGTTTATCGATCGCTGGAGAAGCTGTGTTGCCGTTTCCTGTCAAGTTTCTGCGTAATATTAGGAATCATGGAGTGCTGTGTTGCCGTGCCTACATTATAAATTTCCCTAAATCTGGGGAAAAATCGTTGAAAGTGGAGTCAAGAGTCCTACTAAGTATGCTTGGTAATTACCTAGAAATTTTACAAAGAAGAAGCAATGTTGTCATTCGATGTAATTTTTTGGAAAATTATAAGGCGTATTTATCACTTATTCATGTGCTTCAATATTGCCAGGTCCACTTTACAAATTCCCTAGATCTGGGGAAAAATCGATGCAACTGAAACCAAGTGTCTTACTATTTAGACAGGTATCAATTTTAAATGAGGGGTTTATCGATCGCTAGAAAAGCACTGTTGCTGTTTCCTGTCAAGTTTCTGCGTAATTACTAAGCGTACCTACCATTTAATCATGGAGTGCTGTGTTGTCAGATATACATTACTAATTTCCCTATATCTGGGGAAAAATCATTGACAGTGGAGTCGTGTCTTACTAAGTACGCTTGATAATTACCTAGAAATTTGACCAAGAAGAAGCGCTGTTGCCATTAAATATAATTTTTTGAAGAATTATAAGGCGTATTTATCACTTATTCATGCGCTTTAATATTGCCAGATCCACTTTACAAATTCCCTAGATCTGGGGAAAAATCGTTGAAAGTGGAGTCGAGTGTCCTACTAAGTACGCTTGATAATTACCTATAAATTTTACAAAGAAGAAGCGGTGTTTCTGTTCGATACAATTTTTTGGAGAATTATAAGGCGTATTTTTCATTAATTCATGCGCTTCAATATTGCCAAATCCACTTTACAAATTCCCTAGATCTGGGGAAAAATTGATGAAAGTGAAACAAAGTGTTTTACTACTTAGACAGCTAACAGGATAAAACGTTATACAATTGAAAGGCACGAAATCAATCGCTGGGAAGTGGTGTTGCTATTTTTTTGTCACGTTTCTGCATAATTATTAGGCGCGTACTTATTGATTCATTCGGTGCAGTGTTGCGAGATCTATAGATCAAAGTCTCTAAATCTAGATATAAATCGATAAAAGTGAAACCATGTGTTTTACTACTTGAATGGTAACAGGATAAAACGTTATACAATTAAGAGGCACTAAATCGATCGCTGGGAAGTGGTGTTGCTATGTTTTTATCAATTTTCTGCGTAAATATTAGGTGTACTTACCATTTAATTATGTGGTGTTGTGTTGCCAGATCTATTTGCAAATTTCCCCAGATTTGGGGAAAATGTTTTAAAATGGAGTCAAGTGTCTTACTATCTACTATTTATAATCTTATTTTGAATTAATATAAGAATACATTTTTGTGAATGATATTTTATATATTTTATTTTAAAAGGCATTCAATTCCATATCTATTAAACTATACGTCCCACGACAAAAATGGTGATACCTTTAGATTGCCTATCTTTTATTTTCAAAGTAAATAGTAAGATTCAACTTTCATTAATTTTTCCCTAGATCTGGGGAAATTTGGTTATACCGCACTATTTAATGGTAAGTACGGCCGATAATTACCCAGAAACTTGACAAGAAATGGCAACACTGCTTTTCCAGTGTTTGTTAGATCCTTTAGTAAGATAACAGTTTAAAAAGGCATGAAACATCAATGATTTTTAATAAGAGAATTATAAAGCGATGTTGCCGTTTTGTCAAGGTTCTGGGTAATAACCATTGAATCATGTGGTTAGGCGTTGCCAGATCTACTTTACAAATTTCCCTAGATTTGGGGAAAATCGATGAAAATGTTTTTCTTATATTTACTATTTTAAGTAAATATAGAAGTTATTTTTATTTTGAATGATTTTTTTATACGTTTTTTATGGCGTTTGTTTTTATATTTTCTAAACGATAAAAACAGTGATAACCTTTTTAGATTATTAAATTACCTACCTTTTATTTTAAAACTTTGTTTTAAACTTAATAGTAAGACACTTTACTTAACTTTTATCAATTTTTCCCTAGATCTAGGGAAATTTGGCTATACCGCACTATTTAATGGTAAGTACGGTCGACAGTTACCCAGAAACTTGACAAGAAACAGCAACAATGCTTTTCAGTGTTCGTTAGATCTCTTGGTCAGATAAAAGTTAAGAAGGCATGAAACATCAATGATTTTTAATAAGAGAACTATACAGAGATGTTGCCGTTCTACGATAAAAACAGTGATAATCTTTTTAAATTATTAAATTTTCTATCTCTTATTTCCATACAGTTTTTCTAAACTCAGTAGATATTAAGACACTTGATTTAACTTTAATTGATTTTTCCCACATCTGGGGAAATTTGTAGGGTAGATCTGGCAATACTGAACCGCATGATTCAACAGTAAGTACGCTTCATAGTTATCTAGGGACTTGGTAAAAAACAGCAACACCGCTTAGACAGATAAAAGGACATACAATTGAAAAGGCCCCCTCACATCCATGATTTTAAATACGGGGGTTTATAAATCGCTGGAAAAGCGGTGTTTCCGTTTTTTGTCAAATTTCTAGGAAATTATCATTGAATCATGTAAAGTGGTATTGCCAAATCGAATTTACAAAATTCCCCAAATCTGGGGAAAAATCGATGTGTCTTTTTTTATATACAGAAAAATCGTGGTAAATTAATTTGTTTGTCTTTAGATCGAAAACGGAGAAGCACGGTTCCTGTATAGAGCACGTGTACACCGACATATTCGACGGCAGGTATTGCGGTTGCGGGGATTATAACACCGACGTCAACGAAAAGATCGGCGAGGAACTGAAGAAAAGCAAGGTCGTCGTTACGGCTATGACGCCTGCGACGAGTAGCGAACGTACCATTACCAGCGAAGACGACTTTCCAAGGAGCAGTCCTATTTACGTGTCCGTTGCGACGCCGAGGTTGGTTTAATTTTTATATTATTTATTTGACTTTGTTTTTCAGGAACGATTACCAAGTTTAAAACACTAAAATAGTGAAAAATACTATAAATTAATTAAAATAGTTACCTAATTATAGAACAAATAGTGCGAAAAAGCCAAATTAGTGAAAAATTGAAAAAAAAAAAAAAATACTGTCAAAAATAGTTGACAAGTGGCACATCCGTTGTCAAACATTAATTTTATTGACTGTTTTATAATTGATCAAAAGTAGGGCTTAATAAATTTGTTTTTTTAGGCCCGTGGAGCCGGAAGTCGATAGCGAAAAAAGCCAAGGTGAAATCATTAAAGATAGCGAACCGGAAGTCTCGCGAGACAACACTTAGATTTGAATCCAAAAAATAACGATAATAATAACAACTATTTTTTTATAGTTTTTTTTTTTCTGTGTAATTTGTAAATACTGTTAATATTTTTTAATGAAATTGAGTTTGTATGCTTTTTGTACATATGTATATGGATACGCCTAAAAAGAATAGTTGTAAGAATTACAGTTTTTTTAACTAATGTGTTTTATTTCTTTTTTTTTACAATTATTTAATGCTCATTTAAACATTGCCCTATATTAGTGTTCAACTGACAATTAATTTTTAATAAATATAAACCATTTTGTCATTGAATTTTACATATACGTTTTTCTTGATAGTTTCGGTCTTTACTTGATAAAAATTCATATTATTAAAATTAGAAAAACCCTGAAAATTAATTGGAACTTGGAAATTTAAAAAAAATGCCTGTCAGACATCTTGGTTTTCTGGCCAAATGCCCGTACCATGACGACATTGACTGTTGAGATTCCTAGATAGCAATTCAATATACTAGATCGGGTCAGCCGCCGTTTTAGGCTCTTCAAATACTTCTATACAGTATCGGTATATACATATATGAGAAATGCATTGATGCATACTAAGCCCATATTCGTGCAGAAGCGCAATCTTAATTTTATGCATTTTGAGGTACATTTTTTGTTTACAGAGATACACTACACTCCATTGTTTAACTTAAACTAATATTTTTGACTTTAACGTAAAAGTTATTTTTGTGCATTTACATCTACGCTGATATTAATGTACCGAAAACACTTAAAAGTCTTTTTTAAACCACAATAATATAATCAGGCAATCTCAACTTGGTTTTCGTCAGAATTATTTAATCGAAACTGCCTCAATTGAGCTTGTACAATATGTCCATGAAAATATCGATCAGAACAACTACACACATCTCCAAAAGTCTTGGTAACTTTTACCACGTTCAATGTAAGGTGACTTTTTTGTGTATACCATTTTACATTATCTTATCATACATAAAAATACAGTTTGCAAGACAAAAATTGTTTTCGTCCGAAAATATGCCCGTTTTGAAAAAAAATCAGTTCTAAGCTGACATCGAGTATTAAAGAATAAAGTAAATTTCTCATAAAATGTCAGAGTCCGATTTCTCAGGTTGACCGGACAATAATATTGGCCTTACATCAAGAGGGTTTGTTAAATAACGAGACTGCGGGTTATCTGAATATTCCACGGACTTTGGACTATTTTTCAAAAACGGGCAGAGTTGTGTGAAGGCCGGGACTGGTCGACTAAGAATGACATCGGAGAAAGAAGACCAGTATATGGCAAGCCCTTTGAAGTAATTTTTTGCGAACATAGCGGAGGGTAGTTTCGATTTCGAGAAGCACCATAAGAAGGAGATTTAATTCCTCAAATCTAAGGATGATAACCTTTAAAAGTGCCTAGGCTTTTACCTCGACACAGAGCTGCACGTCGCCATTGGGCTCAAGAACATAGGAACTGACTTTTACCACAATGGCGCAACGTTCTTTTTTCGGACGAGTCACCATTGGCCTACAGAATGATAGTCGACGGAAAAGGGTCCAGACAGACAGGAACGACTTACTTTTGCAAGAGGTGTTGTTCTCTATCAAGGCGGATATGTCGGTTTTTGGGGGCTATAAAGTTTGGTGGCCGCAACCCACTTATTTTAATTGAGACTATTATGAAAGGTACCATATACGCTGAAAACATTATTCAACCAATCATTCAGCCTTTGCGTACTGAATTTGGGGACAATTTCATTTTTCAAGACGATAATGCCTGATCGCATCGCACGCTATAGGAAGGAAATATCCAAATAATGAATGGCAAATAATGAAATATATCCAATTGAATATGTATGAGATTATCTTGGCAGGGCAATATCCAGTCGATAAAACCGCCCTTTAACGACTTGATTGTAGCTGTTCAAAAAGAATACGACAATATGCCTTAATCATTTTATTGATAACCTGATCTGCGGGATTCCGCGACACGTTGGCCAATTGATTGAAAGTAGGGGCCATAATACAGATTATTAAGTTATATTTTTGTTACGATATAACATTTATTGTCAAAAAATACCATTTTCGTGCTTACAATTTTTGGACCTTTTCTTGTAATTTCCTTTATTCTGCATTATTCAGAAAGTAAATTATAAAGATTGTGTATCACATAGTTTGGTATTAAAACATAGAATAAGATTCACCATATTTTTCAAGTTTTATTTGATTATTTTTAAAAATACCCAGGGGGGCCAAGACTTTTGGAAATGGGTGAATTTTTCGACATAACCCATGCATTTGACACGATTAATTCCACTTACTTATCAACAAAACTTGAATCACTGGGCATAAGAGTTTCAATTTAGTCTTGGATCAATTACCCAGACAGCACACCAAATCCTTTGGATATCTACTGAACATCCCAATATCCACTGAATGTCCAGTCCATGGTGGATATCTATTTTAAAACCATGAGATGTAATTTAAAGATATGCAAATGTCCATAAATAATAGTAATTATATAGCAAATTATTAAAAAATTACGCCATTGTGGCTAATAGTACCGTTCAAATATTTAAAATTAATTTTTTTAAGGTGTATTCAATATCTCATGGACATCCACTAAATATATCAAAGTCTAGGCGCGAACGCAAACCATCGTGGATATCCACTAGATGTTATTTGATTTTGCTTACTAAGTATATGGCGATACCACTTTCGCATCTAATCATGCTCGACCCGCCGTAATTGAGTTCGATCGTAATTTGTGTCCTAATTAGACTCCATTAGAAACTGGAGTCGATAATTTCCATTTATTGCTGAAGAGTCCTAATAAGGATGACTTTCTCCTTAGTGGGCAAAATCAAAGGCAGAGTGTTGAAAATATTTTGAGTGTTGAAAATATTTTTTCTCTGCTATTTCCTTCCGACGTTATTCAATAATCATTATTTACTTATGTACCTCTACTACAGATACACATAAAATATTTTGCTGAATATCCGAATATCTTCTATATCCTGTGATATAGACGGACATTTGGTTGGATATCCACAAAATATATTCTGTGGATATCTCTGGGATTTCTTGTATTGTCTGGAAGATACCCATTAGATATTTTGCTGGATATCCCTTAGGATATCTTCTATATTCTGGATATAGACGGACATTTGGATATCCATATTAGATCCACGGAATATTTCTGATATCCTGTGGATATATTGGATATCCACAAAAGATATTCTGTGGATATCTCTGGGATTTGGTGTGTTGTCTGGGTATATGTCTGACACTCAAAGTGCAGATTGATGATGATTTATCCAATGAGTTTAGTACTTTTGTTGGAACTCTGAAATGTGAAGTTGTTCGATGTTTGTTTCTATACTGTTTTTCTATAAGCAATTAGAACGTTTGATTTTCCGTATGAATTTAAGGCTCAATTAACTGGTTTTTATTTCAAGAAACTTAAAACTACATTTTGTAGCGGAGTGAATAAAAAAAAAAAGGTAAAATGTGATGATATTCATGCAACGGGCATATCGATGTTGTTCTTGGTGATTCCATCCATATCTTTCGCACAAATCACTTGACTCCCTCACTTCATATGGTCACGATTACGTCATTTTTGTAATATTTTTACCCTGACGTTTTTAACCGTCGGAGAAGAACGAGGTGAGTGGGACCCTTAACACAAGAATGGAAAAACAAACGTCGTTTAATTGTTTGTACATACTGACCGCGGTCAAAGATTGTGAGCGAAACGCCAAATATAAATATTTCCATTTAAATAGCATGTCACAATATTGCATCGCTCCTTGAATGGAGCGTGACCTGAACTACAGTGATAATTGGTCTTACACACATCTTACTCGAAACATTTTTTTATATACAGTGGCCTATTTGAAGTCGGGCTACCCTCATAAATTTGTTGTTTATGGAGCGATTTTGAAGATTTTTTTTGAAATGGAGGGGGGAGAAAGATATATTTTGGAGTCAAGCGGCGTCAAAATGTACGCTTTACATTTTCCTCAAATTTTTTCATTACGGTCCGTTTTAGAGAAATCATGTAAAAAGCAAAAATTATAGGGACTAATATTAGAAGTAACTTTTGTATGAAGAATTTTCTTGTCCAAACGTAAATTACCTACAGTTATATTCCGTAAAATATAAAAATTACCCCTTATAAAGTACCCCCCCCCATGTTCCAAATCGGCCAAAAATCTAATCAGAGCACCGCAGGCTAGAATTGAGGTTAAGTTTAAAATTTGGTGTTTTTCTCTTTATCTGTTTTTGAGTTTTCTTTAAACAACTTTTATTAGAACAATTTTCTTAAAAATTTAAATTTTTACGTATTGTCAAATTTCTTGAATACGGACCATTTTAGGAAAATTTTGTATAAAACAAAAATAGATAATAATATTGTAACTTTTATTTTAAGAATTTTCTTCTCCAAACGTAAATATTCCATACAATATAAAAACGACTACCTATAAAGTACCCCCCCCCCCCCAGATGTTCCACTCTGTCCAAAATTTATTCAGTTCACCGCATGCCGGAATAAAGCTTAAATTTAAAATTTGGTATTTTTCTCTGTATTCGTTCATGAGTTATCGAGTATATAAACATCATCGCGAAAATAGTCAAAACGGATTCAGAGGACCCAAATCGTAAAAATTCGTCAAAAACTCGAGGTCGAAAAAATTATAATTCCTTTACTTTCCTTATCTGCATACAGATAGGAAAGTAAAAAGTTTCCAATGTATGTTACTTTAGTTTAAGAGTTACGCAGCTTCATTCATTTTAATTTTATGAAATAAAAATCGCTGGGATAAAAAAGAAAACATTTATTTAAATAATATAAAATACTTAAAAAATACAATTAGTTTACAATAATTATTAATTGAGTAGTAGAGCTATTTTTCGAATGTTTTGTTCACGTAATAAATACAATATTTAATATACCTATATATAATATATTTTGTTTTTTTTTTAAATAAGTCACTTCACGAAAACGAGGATGATCGGTCTCAACCTAATCATTTTATCATCTAATCTACAATCTTAACATTTACTATACACACAAGTTTTTTTTTTTAACATTATTACTAACATCCGATTCCCACTGTATAATCCTCAAAATTATTACCATTCCACAAGATTTGAAAAACTACCATTATTTCAACATACTAAGTTTTCACGTAAATTTGAACTAATTTGTGTCAGAATTCCTTCCATATTTAACATTTTAGACAAATTTGCAACACTGTTGACAGTTTTATGACAATTTTGACAGACAGGACATCTACATTTGACATAACCGCCTATTTATGGTAATATCCATCGAGATGGAATAAAATAGAGATGACATAAACATTATTTTATAATATGACAGATGGACGCACTTCAAGTGATGAAAATGACGACTTGAGTCGAACTTTGATTTATTTGAAGTCAATGATTTTATATTTAAAGACTGATGGAATGAAAATGATTTTCCAACATTTAAATGAAGCTATTTACAAAAAAATGGCATTTATTCTTATCAAAACTGACTAGTTCCATTACTTTGAGTTTGACATATGACGTAAAAACGTAATGCAAAGGTGTGGTTACTTTAGCATCGTGATAGCATCTCCTATTTATTCTATCTGACAGTATTAATACATTTTGAACATTGAGGCAATATTTACCCCAATTTCGTTATCCCCATCGACATTTCCGATCACTAGCGACCTTCCTCTCATTGCCACCTACCAACCAACTTTCCCTCCGTCCTAATTCTAACAAACAAGAAACGAAACTAAATAAAAAAACACGTCAGTCGGGTAAAATGATAAAAAAATTCGTCTAAATCCTCGTTCACACCCTCAGTATCTCCAACGACTTGTTGTAGCAGATGGCGATCCAATCGGGCTGAGTGGCGCCCCATTGGATTTGATTGACTTCCCCTTCGGCCGCTGTATAAGCTAGAATGGGATCTTCGATAGCTCGCGGCATCTGCTGGATGTCCCAAATCAGCGCTTGGTGATCGTCGCCCGCCGTGCAAATATGACAGCTCGAATGCGGCGCCCAAGCTATACCATTCACGCACGCGCGATGATTATTGAGACGCGCCACCGGCGTACAAGGTACTCGCACGTCGAGGATAATAACCTGAAAACGAAATACAGTTAACAAATAATTAAATGTTCAAATTTTTTCATATATAAACGCACCTCGCACGCGTCCATAGCAATGGTGGCCAAATAGTTGGGGTCCTGCTTGTTCCAGGCCAGCCGTAACAAGGGGGTATGCGCGGGATCTTCGTAGATGATGGTGGAGTGCTCCAAGTGTCTCAAATCGAACATTCTCACCGATCCATCGGCTCCTACTGAGGCGAACATGTCTCTACCGCCTCCGGCTCGAGAAAATGCGATGTCGTATACTTCTTTATCGTGCGCGATCAGCTGCGTTTTGACGTGACCTGAGACTAGGTTCACACGACCCATTACCTAAATAATACAGGAGATACATCAAATATTGGTAACAAAAATCAATACAGTACAGGCGTCTAATATCAAATGTAATAAAGTCCACTTTTCTAAATTTTCCACTACACAACAAAAACTATTTAAAAAATATTAGGACATTACATAAAATTACTGTTTTGGCTTTTAAGTGTGTAAATAAATTATTTTATGTAAATTGCAGTCAAAATCGCTGTAGAATTTTGAATAATATTTTAAATTGGAGTTTGCTGTATTTGATATTTAAGGTTGGAGTTTGCTATATATGATTTGTTCATTAAAGGAGATTGCTGTTTATGATAGTAAACTGAGTTGTGAAAACATCCAGAAATGTATTTAATACACAGTTCTGCTCACTAATTAATACTGTGATAAACAGAAATTAAAAACAAATGTTTTTCATATTGTCAATAAACAATGTGTCCATGGGCGCAGACCAAAAAATTGCTGGGGGCCAAGTCTTATAGGCAAGTAGACTCCGCTTCACGAAAGAAGAACACAGCTGAAGTTGCAACGATGACAGTCGCAGAAACCAAATTATGTCTTGTTTACCTACGTCGCTTAGTAACGACAGGGTCACGCCACTGGCGTAGAACGAACATTTTTATGCCAATACTAACCATTTATTTATTTGTTAACGACGTTAGCGTTTGACATTTAAGGTTATTTTTTTGGAATCACCTATTTGTTAAATATTTTTCATTGTCGACTATTTTAAGACGTTTGTGAGTGTTGTGTGTTTTATTTAATCTAAAACATGCCTCCTAAAAAGCTTGTTGGTTTAAAAAGAAAAATTATCCATAGTCAAGGTCGGCCTATTATAAAAAATGTCGCATCTTTTATGCAATCCGAAGCTGAAGATGGAATTCAAATTCCTTTACAAAATTATCAGTAAGTAGAATAAAAAAGTATAATACCTATGTAATAATGTAATTTATTATTCCTAACCAGATCAGTCAGAATTTACAAGTATACTTTGGCGAATTTATATACTTAGTAATAGACTAGATATTATGTCTTTGAACAAAAAAGATCAGTTATTTCATTATGTTATTGTAGATTATAAATCGTGCCCTTATTTCAAATACCACCTAATTACATATTTTGTTATAAACATATGAAGTTTGAGCATAAAATTTTATCTATAAAACAAATATTACTAAATTTTGTCAGTAGTTTGTAGCATTGAGATTGTTAAGTCTTTAGAAAAGTAGTATTCTAATTTAAAAATAATTAAATTTTACTAAAAATTATTCCACTTATATGATTTTGCCTTTTTGTACAATGAAAAACTATGTGTCTTGGTATATTTGCAAGACAAGCTTATAATGTTACATTTCTTTAATTTGTAAAATATATATCCTGCTCGAGTCTTTTTATTATACGCAACTTCTATTTTCCTTGAGAAAAAAAATTAGAATAAATTTTGATAAAATACAGATATTTATTACTACCTATATATCATTTTGTTGAAATGTGATCTTATTTGTTTTTAGCCATAATTTAATTTCTAACGGGACATTGTATCAGTTAGCAACTAGCTTGTTTAGGGACTAGGAGTATTTCCACCAGGGCTGCCGCAGAGATATTTAGAAATGTACTAGAAAATTAGAGGAAAATGTACTAAATTGTACTAAATTTTAGATGGACTGTCACTTGTCAAAACTGTCACGTATGTTGTCAGTTGTCATGTCAAATCTTGTCGAATGTCAACTGAAGGATGGATGGGCGTTGTTTGTTTTTGTTGCTTATGTACTTTTAAAAATTGGAATTTGAATATATCACTGGAATATACCGATACGTTAATATGAATATAGTTTTGTTTTAAATTTTATTATTTTAAACAAGTTTAACGGCAAGTTTTTATATGTTTATCAAGGGAGGTGCAAATAAATTGTAAGATCATAAACCAGTCACTAAAACCAGGATTCTGCGCAATAGATAATTTGTCGGTCCCAATAATCTACTGCGCAGAATCCTGGAGTCAGTGACGGGTTTCTGTTCGTTATTGGAATAGACCTTGTGTAAAATCCTTTTTCTTTAGGGAAAATACCGCTAATATTTCCAATACTTACCCTTATATCGGAAAACTTAGGCTTTTTATCATAGATGGTGCCACAGTATTTCAAATTGTACTAAATTTTCCCTGATTTTACTTAAAATGTACTTATGTACTATGCCTTGAGAAATGTACTAAATTTAGTACAATTGTACTGAAACGGCAGCTCTGATTTCCACAACCATACAATGTAAATATTACTGATTTTTAATATCTATATTAAATTGCAGAGAACAAACTCTAAAAGCAACTGGTGCGAGTAAAAGTACTTACACCACTTTTAGCTATTGAAAGAGGAGCATCTACTTCGTTTGGATCTCCTCGAAGAAAGAAATAATAAAAAAATAATACCCATCCATCTCATTATTTCAAAAAAGTCGAATGGTCCGACGCCCGACAAAAAATCGGGGCAATTTACTATTATCTCCGCTCCAGCTTCACCTCGCGGTGCGCGGCTGATTCATATCACAAGGTTTTTCGGTCTTGTACATGAGTACGAGTCCAGGGTTGCCAATTTAGCGATTGTGTAGCTAGATCTAGCGATTTCAGAAGGTATGTTGCGACTTCGAATTTGAGACGTGTTTCAAACCTAGCGTTTTCTAGCTATTATCTGGCGACTTTTACATATCAGGAATGATGATGGTGATGATAATAATAATGGGTGTAGTAGGTAGGCCATATTCTAGCAATGAAAAAGGAGGTGGTTGTACAACAATTGAACATAAAAGTAAATGTCTATAATTTTAATTTTGACATTATTGAGAGTTGTAAAATTTTAAAATCGTTAGGATAACATCTGATAAGCCATTAAAACGATTAATTTTCATTTAATTCCACATTAAATCTGGGATAAATACCTATGTTAAAAAGTAAGAACATTAACCAACTTTATTTATCCAATAGAAATTATTTTATAGTTATGTTTTGTGCTGGAAAGTGTTTGTTTTTGTCTCTTTTGTTTTCGGTTTTATTTGTTATTTTTTTTTTAACATGAGTTTTACAAGTAAGAAATAATACTTGTATTAGTCTTAACTGTCCCACTTTTTCTTGTTTTGTCCCGCTTTTCTAATGCCTAAATCCCGCCAAATGCAAATTCAGACCTGGCAACCTTATACTGAATGTTTACAAATTAGTAAATTTTCGTGTGGGTCTAGATTAAGTTTGTTCTTTTTTTTTTAGGTTCTAAAAGTGGAAACTACCATGATCACATGAAACAATCAAACTTTATGAAGTGGGTTCAGGAACAACTATTCCCAATATGCCTGAGAAATCAGTTCTGGTTGTAGATAATGCTTCTTACCAAACGTGAAAACTGAAAAAAGTATTACTTCAGTATCTAGGAAGTCAGAAATGTTAGAATGGCTTACAGCCAACAAAGTTTACCATGATGCCAATAAGACAAAACCCGCTTCGTATGAATTAATTAAAAAAATCAGTTAGGTATTCCTGTTTCCTAAATTGCACTGTTTACTGAAATAATATTAACATAAATTCTTATTGTTACCAACTTATCATCCAAAATTCAATCCAATAGAAAAAATCTGGGCACTGGTTAAGAACTGGGTGGCGGTGCACAATATCATATTTAAACCGGATGATGTGGAGAAATTAGCCAGGAAGAAATTTTCTGAAGTTTCTGATCAAGAATGGTGTTCTATTTGCGAACATGTAAAGAAATGCAATTCTGAATGGATTAAAAAGAACACATTCTGGATAATGCTGTAGTGTGTTTACTGCAAATACAGGATCATTTGATGAATGTACTTCAGAGGATGATTGCAGTAGTGACAGCAGTAGGAGTATTATAGAATTGCTTAGTGACTATGAAAGCAATTAAAAATACAGACCTACAAGAAATAATTTTTTCCAACATACCTACCTAAATTCTAGGCAAACATATTTAAAATTTTGTGATATGACTCAAATTGATGATTTTAAAATCGATATATCACTAAAGTCAATAAACAAAAAATCTTAATTTCTTCATAATATACTTTTCCAATAACTAGTAACTAACATCTAAAATTTCATCAATTTGTTTAACTATAAATGGGATTAAACAAGTTTGAATATTTAAAGTAAAGGTAAAAAGTATAAAATTTTGTAAAATATTTCACACATGTGCAACTAGCACTCAATTGAATAAGAAATACAACAAACATTTATTATCACTAAGCTATTTTGTATTTATTGTATTTACACTTATCATTTGATTAACTACTATTGTATGCTGCAGATTTCGTTAAAGTTTTTAGATGTGAAATGTTTTAAAAAATTTTTATATTTTTCCCTACTTTTCAAAATTAATACTAAAGTTACATATTATGCCATATTATGGCATTTGAGTTCCAACTTTTCAATGATTTTTTGCCAGTAATCTGAGTAAACCATTTAATAATGAATATGTTATCAATATTTTTCAAGCATTCCTAAATTAAAATAAACAATTTTATAAGTTCCTATTTTGTTTTTTTTTTAACTTTTTTTTATTGCCTAAACGATATATTTAGGGCTTGAAGTAATAGGCTATTATGTCCTAAGAGATCAATATCTCAGCTAGTCCATTTTTATCCAAAAAACTTTTATAACCCAAGATTTTAAAGGAAATTTAATATACTTTTTGTTGTATAAAGCAATGTCTGCACCTACCTCTACTCAGAAAGCAATTATAAGCAAAAAAGTAAAAAAAAAAATTTTTTTTGCGTATTAAATTCTTTTTTTATATTTCTTACATACAAAAATTTAAATAAATAATTTGATGTAAAATAATCGTATTATTTACAAAAAAAAATTATATTAACTGCATGAAATTTGCTTCACATAAGGGATTTACAAATTGCACTTTTTTTGTTTCAATATTTCTTGCTTTAAAACTTGTGAAAATGACAACACCATTTGCATATTTATATTTATTTAAGAATTAAATTTGAAATGGTTACGCTCATACGACTGTAAGACAAAAAGTTGTCTCTAAAACCAAGCCTGTAAGTTGAATAAAATCAAACAGCGTTCATAAATAAAAGGAAAGTGCACCAATAAATAACTTTTGATCAAGAGAATATATGAAATTTGAAGAAATCTCTTGCTGTACTTTCAGTAGATTTTTTTGGAAGGAATTCATTTTGATTTTTGCTTATTATCAACATTTCATTGTGGATACGCTTTTCAAAAATTTTGTTTAATACGAGTATATCCCTAATTATCTATCTTGACCACCATTTTCTAAAAATTGGATTTACCATGCCTAGTTTTAAATATCGTAGTAATATTAATGATATAAATAACCCATTGAGATATAATAAAGAGTACACTATATGCATTATGACTATTCCTCTAATAAAAATTATATTATCAAGCAATGCTCACAGAGTTAACATTTTTTTAATGACTGAATAATGCCAATATATTGAATAGGTGATTAACTGCATAAAATGAACCAAACATACATTATTTGTGCCATACCTGTCCGGTTTCAAGCCCCCAAATCGTACACGTCGTATCTATAGAAGAAGTTCCAACTAAATTAGGATCAACTTCATTCCAATCAAAGCTGGTCAATGGTGCACAAAAATCTGAATTTTTATTGTTGTTTAAAACGCATTCGAGTCTCGTATCTGGCTCTCCCGCCCTCCAAACCCTCAAATAGTCCCCACTAAAAATAAATAATAAAATACTGTTAACAAGAAATTTTATCAATAATAAAAACCAGAACTATGTATGTATTTACCTTGTAGCCAACAAATCTGGAAAAATCCCCTTACTATCTGGTATCCACATGATTTTAGTCGTAGGATAAGGATGATCGAATGTACTTTTCGCAGAAAACTCACTACTATCTTCATCTAAAGAAATGACCTGAACTTTATTGTTGTACTCCTCTACGAAGCTGCCGAGAGCAAGTCTGAACCTTTTGTCGGGTCGTACTGACCAGTTCATACTGTACAGCGGCCAGGGGGCCACATATTTGTAGATTTCTTTGCGTTTCCCACCGGGGACAACCCCTGAGTGGGCCATTTCTAAAAACAATACGTTAATGGATTGATTTAGAGGATATTGTGGAGTTTACTTACTGTGGAGATCAATTTTTACGGTTTGTTTTTCACCGTTTCAACAGAAAGCAGGGAAATCCTCGGAAAATCTATTTGTTTATAACAAATAACAATATCGGCTTGACCTTGACACTTGACAAGAGTTATATGACAGATGGCATCTATTGAAGAATTTCTTTGTCGGTATACAGAATTCTGTATTCTATTACAATTTTTATTCGATTTAGTGAATAATCTTTTTGATTTTGGCAAATTATTTATAACAAGAAACATTTATTAACAATAATTAACAAACTATAACAGTTTCTACGTTTATTATTTTTATATTAGTAAAAAATTTCGATGACTTACAGCGCCCTCTAGTAATAGACGCAGGTATTTAAGTCGTAAAATATCCTAAATTTAAATATGAAAAAAATTTAAACAAAATATAGTATAAAGTAGATATTTATTATAAAATGCTTTAAAAAAGCATCTTGAATTAATTTTAGTTCGTCTGGTTTCTTGTTTAAATCCAAAATACCCATAACCCGGTAGTGTGTGCACGTGTTTTGAAGGCAAACTTATAAAGAAATGAGTGTCAGAGGATTTTTGTGCCTTAGAAAATTTGGTACGGATGTGAAAACAACAAAATTCTTCACTACACCTATTTATTATGTGAATGCAAGTAAGTTAACTTTCAAAAATACAAAATAAGCAATCAAACCTCAAATAAAACAATGTTTTGACTTTGACAGATAGCGACCAGGGGCGGCTTCAAAATATTAATAGTAGTTTTAATGTTATAAGGATAAAAAGTCTAGTTTCTTGGGCTATTACGTCTGGCCTCTTAGTAGTCTAAAAGAATACTTTTCGTCCGTGTTTCATACATTATTTTTGACAAACTTGCAGTTTAGGTGGATACTAAAACGTATGCTGCACTAATGTGTTATGTGACACTTTTCAATTTGAGCTGTCTGTTGATATTTTCTAGTGGCGGCCAAGCCAAGCCGCCGGTCACAGAAAAGTTCTACTTTTCGATTATTCTATCCGAAAATGTCCTTTTTGACACATTCTAATAAAAACTAAGTAATACATTTGTTGAAAATTTAATACAAAAAGAAAATAACTTATACGATTAACTCATAGGGCATTTTTTCTTCTTTAAACGCAGCTATGATATTTCTGGCGGTTACTAGCCCCATTTCATTTCTTGTTTCTACGGCAGCGCTGCCTATATGTGGCAGAATAACACAATTTTTTAACTTATACAAAGCGTGGTCCAATGGTAAAGGTTCTGGAGTCATAACATCCAACCCTGCACCCCAAATGATTTTGTTCTGAAGAGCATTAACCAAAGCATCTTGATCAACTAGGCCTCCTCTACTGGTATTTATAAAAACTGCTGTCGATTTCATTTTTTTAAAAGCAGATTCGTCAAATAAGTTCTTCGTTTCCGGAGTCAAAGACGCTACCAAAGTTATAAAGTCGCTTTGAGCTAATAGCTCATCAAAATTAACTCTATGAGCTCCGATTTCTTGAGCTTCTCTCAATCTTTCAGATCTGTTATAGTAAATAATTCGTTTAGGTTTAAAGGATTTTAAAATACGTGCAATTTGTTGTCCTATTCTTCCAAAACCGACGATACCCACCGTGGAATCTTTCAAGCCGGGTCCGCACATCCAAAATGGCGACCAGGCTTTCCAACCGCCAGTTCGGGCTTCCTGGTTCGCTTCTAGAAGTCGCCTGCTGGTTGCTAATAATAACGCGACTGATAACTCCGCTGTGGCGTCTGTCAAAGTATCGGGCGTGTAGCCCATTTTAATGCCTCGTTTTTTAATTTCCTGTGTGTCTAGATGGTCGAATCCGACTGACATTGTGGCTATGACTTTAAGGTTTTTACCAGCCTTGTCTAATACCGTGGAATCTATCTTGTCAGTAAGCATGCAAAAAAGACCGTTTTTATTTTCTATGTTTTTAAGAAGTTCGTCTCTAGGTACTGGACCCGGTCCTGTCCAGGAAGTTACATCGCAGCTGGAAAGATAATAAATAAAATTAGACAAATTGATTGAGGTTTTTAAATTAAATTTTCTACTTACTGCTCTTTCAATAAATCTACGGCATCTTTGTTCACTTCTCGTGTTATATAAACAGATGGTTTAGTCATTTTTGTGGAGAACTTGCGACTGTATTGAATGGTTTGAATAAGTGACTGTCTTTGACCTCCTATCGTAGCAATCGCGAAACGAGTGAGACTAAACGCCATTTTTGTTTTCGATAATAGTACCAATCGGTATATTTAATAACGTTAATAAATTATTCTTATCACATATACTACAATAACAAAAAATTAAATTTCTTATTAATCCATGTTTATATATAAAAAATAATAATAAAAAAAAATGGTGGTTAAGTGTGCCCTTAACCATATTTGTGTTCCATCCTTGTCAAGGGGAGTGCTAAACTTCTCTCCTTTCATACAACACATCTATATATTGTTTGAATATCGTATTAGTATGGAACTCAGTTAAGCATGTGTCCGCGGATTGTAAGCTCACAGTGACTAAAGATTACGGAGACGGACTTTTTCAATCAAATTTTTATGAAATATACGACGATTATATGAACTTTAGGTGCATCAAAGCCTAATGTAGAAGCTATTAAAAGTTTTTAATTGTATACCTATTTATTTTCTTTTTGTTTAAATGACCTAATTTTTCTTTGATATGAATCAAATATATATAATACTGAGTAGGTACTGAGACTTTTCAAATTCTCCTTATTACTTTGTATTTTTTTAACGTTCTGTATTTATTTACAATTATATATATCGAATACAATGTTTAATTATTTATAATTAATCATCTTGACATATCTTGAGTAGCAACACATGGATATAAAATGGCAACCAGCCAATCCTTTTCCAATCATGAACTTCCTGTAGCGACAAACAGATGGCGCAAGATTACATTTAAATTTTATCCGCCATTTTCGTTCCAGATCCGCACATCGGACATCTCTACAGCTCGCTAATCGCGGACGCCGCCCAAAGATGGCAGCAAATGTCCGAAAGCGGCACGAAAATCAAATTTTCAACAGGTACAGATGAGCACGGATCAAAAATTCAACAAGCTGCTAATAAAAATAACACGTCTCCTTCCGTGTATTGCGATAAAATTTCGTCTGAGTTTGAAAAATTGGCACAGGAATTTAGTATAGGTTGTACGGATTTTATCAGGACCACTTCAGAAGGGCATAAACGTACTGTACAGTTGTTTTGGGTGAGTTACTCGAGTTACGGATGTAAAGAGCAGTGTTGCTAACACCAAAAATAAATTTCTGTTAAATAAATGCTAAAAAACTACTAAATTTGACACTGAATATGTTCTAAGACTAAATTCGTCTTTATTTGTATTTTGTGTTGGCTATACTGAAATAACTAAAATAGAATAGGTATTTTAATAAGGGCCGATTCCACCGTTGTGTTAAACGGAGATTAAAATGACATTGTTAATGTAAAAATGTCATTTTAAACTTCGTTTAACACAATGGTGGAATCGGGCCTCAAACATGCATTATTAATGCATGTTTTTATTAACAAAATAAACTTCCTGATAATTCTATGAACACAATACATTGTACATTAAATGTTTTTCGAATTTGCTACGCTTATTGCATATTTTTTAATATTCCAAAAATATTAATCTTTATTTTTTGCTGGGATTGCAATTTTCTGCTTAAAAATCTGCCGCCTGTTGTTTAATCATTTTTCCAGCTAAACGTTAATAAAATCGGCTAATTTTAGCCTAAGTTGACATCACTGGTACATAGAGATAATGCGCTAGTTCAGTGATGATGTAATTATGGTTCCACTGACAATTAAAGTGACAGTAGATTTTTTGAGTGCGTTTTGTTCGTTTTGTTTACCTAAATTATATAGTTTTTTTCACTTTTATAAATATATATTCCTAAAGTAAGTAGATAGCATGTATCAAATATACAATCGTTTAGTTACCAATTACATGCCTTTAAACTATTTTTTATGACCTGTAAACATAATTTTGAAATAAAATAAAAACAGTTAAAACGTATGTGTCAAATTTATTGATGATTTCGTTAAAAGATGGGTTAGAATTGAATGTCAGTGGAACCAAAATGACGTCACACTGAACTAGCGCATAATAGTTTTCCTGCTGTAAATATAGGGGAACACTGAAAGTTTTGAATAATTAACAGAACAAAAACCAACTCAAATGTCTTTTGTATTCTGTAATAAAAAAATTATTCATAATACAGTGTGTTCTATAAAGTTGGATCCATATGGGACATTTTTTTTAACATTACTATATGGGGATTGGCCTGCGCGTACCTTCTAATATTAAATAAAACATTGTTTTCTATTCAAAATTTGTAATTTCTAAATGGCCTGACGCCAAGAACAATTCTTTTCTTGACAATCTTAACATTGACAACTGATTTTAATCTAAAATCTTACAGAATATTAACAAATGAAAAGCGGGCCATTCTTCTTTCTTATTAAACGTCTAACTACTGGTGTACAAGACCACCAAAAGTAAGAAGAGCACACTTATTTGAAATTTCGCGGGGAATACTACAACTATTGGAAAAAAACGTCTTAGGACATTCAACTCTGCTTTTTAAAAAACTTAAAATAGCTCATATTAAAGTTGGCTAGGTAGTGCATTAGCTATCTGTCAAATTCAGTATTTTTTTGAATTTTTTTTTAAATCCCAATTTGACAGAAATTTAATGTCAGTAGCATACTTTGATATGGGCTATTTTAAGTTTTTTTAATAAGCAAAGGCGATTCCCCTACGAAGTTTTTTTTTAATTGTAATATTATTAAAAAAATTCTCACATGGATCCATTTTTATGGAACACATGTTATATGCCAATGCCAAATCTGCTTACATTTTTAGAACACTTTAAAAAACAACGACAAATTCTACTTGTCGAAATACGAAGGATGGTACTGCGTCCCAGACGAAACGTTTTTGACAGAATCTCAATTAAACGAGACAGTAGGAAGTGATGGTAAAAAAATCTTGGTTTCCGCGGAAAGCGGACACCCTGTAGAATGGAGTAGCGAAGAAAATTACATGTTCAAACTCAGCCAGTATCGCGATGATCTTAAGCATTGGTTGAAAACAAACGGTATTTATGATAAAAAATATACGTCGCGCCTTTGCTTCAAAAGTGACAGAACTTAAAATTCACATTTTGGAGTTGTTTAAACTTAAATGGGGTTAGTCAACAATCCTACGTCAGAACCTTAAAAATGAAGTCTTTTCTCAGCCAAGTTAAAACAGTTTTTTCTATTCAAAAGGGACAGAAATCAAAATTGAATTGTTAAAACCTTAAAATGACACAGGCCATCTAAAAAAGTCTTTTTTAAGCCTAGTTAAAACAATTTTGATGATTGATATACGGTTGCTTACTATAAAAGTCAAAGGTATTAAGCATTAACTCCAAATTTTGAGTTGTGTCACTTTTGAAGCAAGGGACGATATTAATTTAAGAAAACTCACCTATTACTTCAAATAAATACATTAATCACCCTGTATGTTCCATTTTTAATTTAAAGACGTACCATTTAATATAAAATTTGACTTCTGAGTATTTTTCATAATTTTCTAAAATTTAGGCAGCCAAAAATATATCCCAGTGGTATCCATACTACTTAATCTACAGTGTCTACGCAAGTTGACAGCATACGGAAAACTTTTATGATTATTAATTTTAGGAAAAAAAAGCTATTCTTCATAAAAAGTTGCGCATGGTCTAAAACCTGTGTTTTTTATAATTTCCTAGAGGGAATTTGGGATTATATATCTTTATATTTACAAAATTGCATCCTACTCTTCCTTAGAAAATCACCCTGTATATTTTTATAGTAAAATTAATCCTTCATAATATTTCAATTACTATTAAAAGTTTTTTAGTTTGTAGATACAAAATTTCTATAATTTCAATCAATACTATGAAATTTTATTAATTTCATTACAGAATATATTTTTTATTTTTGATAATAACTTTCAAAATTAATTAATAATTATTTCGTTATTATCTAAAAAGCATCATCGTATGCCGTTAATGAACCTGACTGATAATAATGTTCTGAGTTTGAAAATCAATTTAAAAACTATTAATTATTACATTATCTGATTATACATAGTATAATATATTTCCCATAATATTTGGCTTACTTTGAAAGGCTTATTGATTATAATTAAATGAAAATCAAGCTAGTTCCCGTTATTTAACTTTAAAGTATTAATTTTCTACCAATGGTGGCGTGTAAAAAGTTTTTAGATACCACTTAGAAATAATCTTTCGTCTGAAAAAATATTTGAAGTATTTTAATAGCCGTTTAAAATAACTTGCCATTTAAAAAAAAAAGGTTTTTGTTATGTACATAGGTGGCTGCAATGTATGAGGTTGGTATTATTGGTCTAGACTGTCTAAACATTTGATAGACATTGACTTTTGACAGGTTGTCAGAGGTTGGCGCTCTCGTGTTGATTGTTAACACTTTATGCTTGTAGTTTAATCACTTGTTATTAAAATCGGAGTATTGGGGCCCAGTGTTTTATTACCTAATACTATTTTTAATCTATTGATAATAGTCTGAAAATACCTCAACTAATCAACCGTAAAATAATCAAATTATTTTAGATATTATAATCTTTAAACGCTAGTTTTAGTGGCAAAAATTTGTTTGGAAAATTGATCATACATAATCAAACATTTTAAAATGATGAAAAGCGTTCGGAAAAAACAATACTGGGACTGAGGTTATGGGGGTAGAAATATTAAAAGAAATCTTAACTCAAAAACGAAAAATGATCTTGAAAATAAATCATATTTTAAAAACGAAAAGCGATATCAACATCAAATCTTCAGAAATATCAAGTTCTATAAGTGGATAAAGTCCCAAGATGTTTAAAAATCTAATTAAAAATGGAGAATTTAATGGGTGTTCAATGGAGACGTAAGTGGGACTTAAAGGGGACTTAATGGGACTTAAGGGGGACTTAAATGGGAGAACTTAAAGCGGTTTGGGGTTAAGGGGATTTAAGCCTGCTTTAAGGAGGTTTAAGAAGGATTTAAGGGACTTTAAGGAGATTTAAAGGGTTTTAAGGTTGTTTGAGGGGGTTTAAGGGAGTTTAAGGGGTTCTAGGTGGTTCAAGGGGATTCAAAAAGGTTTGAGGGGGTTACGGATGATTTAATGACGATTTAAGGGGAGCTTGGGGTTTAAGAGCGATTTAAGGGGAGTTTAAGGGGGAGTTGAATTAAAAAAAAAAAACAAATCAAAACGAAAAGCTATATCAACATGAATTTTTTAGTAAAAATTAAGCTTTATAAGGAGATACAGCCTATTAATTCTGAAAAAAATCTAAATAAAAACGAAGGATTAAGGGGAGGTTAAAATAAAAAAAAAATCATAAATTAAAAACAAAAAGCGATATCAACATGAAATCTTCAGGAAAATCAAGTTCTATAAAGGGATGAAACCTCTAAATGTTGAAAAAAATCTAATTAAAAATGGAGAATTTAACGGGCGTGTAATGAGGACTTAATTGGGAATTAAAGGTGACTTACTCGAAATTAAGGGGGACTTAAAGGAGGCAATTAAAGGGGCTTAAATGGGGAACTTACAGGGGTATGATATTAATGGGATTTAAGCGGGGTTTAAGAAGGATTTAAGGGACTTTAAGGGAATTTAAAGGGGTTTAAGGGGGCTTGAGGTTTAAGAGCGATTTAAGCGGAGTTTAAGGGGGTTAAAAAACAAATCAAAACGAAAAGCTATATCAACATGAAATTTTTAGTAAAAATTAAGCTTTATAAGGATATACAGCCTATTGATTCTGAAAAAAATCTGAATAAAAATGGAGGATTAAGGGGGGTTAAAATAAAAAATCCTAAATTAAAAACAAAAAGCGATATCAACAAGAAATCTTCAGGAAAATCAAGTTCTATAAGGGGATGAAGCCCCTAGATGTTGAAAAAATCTAATTAAAAATGGAGAATTTAATAAGCGTTCAATGGGGACTTAGGAGGATTTAAGGTGAACTTAATGGGACTTAATGGAGACTTAAATGAGGCAATAAAAGGGACTTAAATGGGGAATTTAAAGGAGTTTGGAGTTAAGGGGATTTAAGCGGGGTTTAGGGCGGTTTAAGAGGAAGTGTAAGGGGTTAAAGGGCGTTCGAGGGAGTTCAAGAAGGTTTGAGGGTGGTTAAGGACGATTTAAGGGGGGATTGGGTTTTAAGAGCGATTTAAGGGAGGGGTTAAATTAAAAAAAAACTAAATAAAAACGAAAAGCTATATCACCATGATAGTTTTAGCAAAAATCAAGCTCTATAAAAAGATGAAGCCTACTGATTCTAAATATGTGGGTAAGAGGGTCTGTTGAACTTTGAAGAGTATAATAAACAGTATTGGCCATCTTTTAATATGACACAGATGCGTGTGAGAGCTAAAGAGAGCCGACATTGGCGTAAGTAGGAAAGGAACAGTACCAGCGATACCAGCTTGTAGGGCGGTCGGTTTGTATAAATGGTAACGTTGACACCTTTCCTTTTCCGCTCGCTCCAATGTCGCTCTTTGTAGCTTTCACTCGCACTTGTGCTGGGGATATTGGAAGGTGTTTTATGGGCAATACTGTAGAATGCCAAGCATTTTATATCTTTATTTTAGTTTATTTTTATCTTTTACTTACCATTAGTCATACTTTTAGTAATGGAAATATTTTAATTGAAAAAGGCGCTGCAACTCGGAAAACTTTGTTCTAAAGATCAAAATAGTCTGTAGAGATATAATCAAATTAATTAAAAATAATCATACAGGGTGAAGCAGCATCGTATTATCGTAGTACAATCGTTCCGATTTCAAAATTAAATTTTCAGAAAACGTCGTAACTCCCAAAAAATTCCACAAAATTCTTCAGGATTTTTTGGATCAGGACGACGGTTTGCAGGATCTTTCGGTATCCAGACCGACCAGCAGGGTCAGTTGGGGCATCACCGTCCCAGACGATCCTTCGCAAAGCGTTTACGTCTGGTTGGATGCTCTGACGAATTATTTGACAGTAGCGGGATACGGTAACGACGATGAATTGTTCAAGAGAACTTGGCCTCCGGACGTTCAAGTCATTGGCAAAGATATTTTGAAGTAAGTATTATACGTTTTGTTTCTGTTTTATATTAAATTTGTGCGAAATAATATTGGCGACTGAAGCGATAACGAAGAAAAATAATGGGGCTGAATTGGTTCCTTGTGGTATACCGGAACTGATTGTATAAATTTCCAGCAAATTTGAGGGTGGGTGTAAAATAGTAGAAATATGATGATAAATGTGCCATATTAATGAGTCGCCATTTTGTTTCCACTGACAGTTCAATTTTAACAAAACATCATTGAATTTGACATATAGGTACGTTTTTTTTGCCATTTTTAAGGTTTTTTTTAAATATTGTTTATAGGTTATAAAAAATAGTTTAAAAGTATATAATTGGTAACGATTGTATATTTGATGCATATTATCTACTTTTTTTAGGAATATATTTATAAAAATTAAAAACTATATAATTTAGGTAAACAAAACTAACAGAACGCACTCTAAAAAGTCTACTGTCACTTGTCAATGGAACCAAAATTACATAATTAATTACTAACTTAGGGTATTAGTTCTGATGAACTAAACAATAGCTGTAAAGACTTCTATTTTTATTTAAATTTCTTAATTGTATTTGGACGACAGTTTGATATATGTTTCCGACCTAAATGCACTTACAATAACCTCTAAATTACTTCAACGGCATTAAGCAACTAAAAGACACTTCCAGACACGCTATCTAACATCCATAATTCATCAAAACTTTCATATAACTTCCTTCTGAGCTTCTTAATGCGTTACAAACGATCTCTAAAAGTTTTACTGTACAGTTATTACTACGCGAAAATTACCTATATATAGGTGTGTATACAGCTACGACTTAGGTACTTCCAGAAATTCGAGTCTTCAAGGTAATGATGCGGCCGCGTTCATTTATCAAATTCGCAATAAGCCAGGGAAGTTATTAAATGCCGATGCGAGCTGAAGTTTGAGGTTATGTTGCTCGGCTTCGGCCACGCGAGCCCGGGGGGGCGCTCGTTAACGTCGTTATAGATAGATTATAGTCGGTGGGCAAAAGATTAGCCCACGCATAACGGATTTTCGAAAGATTATAATATATGTCACTTTTTGGTGATACAAAGTAGGTTAAATTGGAAAAAATTCACAACAGGGGTCTTTTAATAAATGGAAACTTCATCTCACAAATTTTTTTCTTAAATATTCTTAATATATTTCTTATTTTAATTTTTTATATTTTTATTTTTTCTTATTTTTCTTATTTTTATTTTTCTTATTTTTCTTATTTTTCTTATTTTTCTTATTTTTCTTATTTTTCTTATTTTTCTTATTTTTCTTATTTTTCTTATTTTTCTTATTTTTCTTATTTTTCTTATTTTTCTTATTTTTCCTATTTTTCTTATTTTTCTTATTTTTCTTATTTTTCTTATTTTTCTTATTTTTCTTATTTTTCTTATTTTTCTTATTTTTCTTATTTTTCTTTTTACAGGTTTTAAGATGTTTTTAAAAATAAAAAAAATCAAAATCTTTCTTTTAATTTATTTAAAATTTGAAACAAAAATAAAATACTATTTAATATCAAATGAAAGCAACAATTCCAGCAAAAAAATCTCAGGTCACGTGATTTAAACAAAACTTTACAAAAAATATGTTACAACTATTTGACTTTAAATTTTTCATGATAGAGGAGACGCCCTTAAAATATATTATAATTTTATTTGCGTTATTATTTAAAACAAAAGCATTCAAAATTAGTGCTGAAACTGGATAAATTGAATTTTTAAGCACTTACCCATAATTATGAAAGGTCTTAATTAATTTCCTATGTCTTTTTCGAATCATTAAAGAACCTTTCAAAATCGTAAAACTCGTTAAAAAGTAATTAGAAACGAATGAAAAAACCTTTCAGCTTTGGAAATATTAAAAGATCAATTAAATAAATTAATACACACTTTAAAATTCATGTTTTTTTCCCTACTTTTATAGGTATATTTTTCGTTGAAAACAACTCAATAAAAAATAAAAGTAATTGAATTAAAATAGAATTTAAGGAACTAATAGAAAAATATTGCATCACTATACGCTAAATTAGTGATGACGGAATTTTGGTTCCACTGACAATTATAGTGACATTTTTTTTGAATGTATTTTGTTTACCTACATTATGTTGTTTTTAAATTTTTATAAATATATTCCTAGAGTAAGTAGATAATATAAATAATAATAATAATATTTATTGGCAGAAGTAAATACATAAACAATAACAATTATATTGTTTATATCTGGTAATACGCTTCTCCGGAAGAACAATGACGCAAGTAAAAATGAATGATTCCGCAAAAAAATATACTGAGACACTAAGGAGTAGTTTCGGAAGTAATCGAGGGGACTTGGAGGAAACAAATTAATTCTAGTTTTCGTTTTTCCACAGGAGAAATGTAATTTTCTTTGGCATTATACCATAATCAACTCAAAAAGTAAAAATTTGCCCTTGTGTCATTGTTCTTCCGGAAAAGCGGTCAACAAATATTAGCAATTTCTACGAGGCTGAAGTGCCTGTGTGTATATTAAGTAATTTATACAATATTTGGACTAAACTTAATTAATAACTAACAAAATTAAACGTTTTAAAAATAATAATAAAAAAGTTATATTATTTAAGTAAAATGTTTTTTTACTAAATGAGATGAATTCTAGATTTTTATATATATATTTTTTTCAATTTTAATTTCAAGATTTATTAATTTTTTTATCAAACATTTTTACCAAATTTTTTACTTTTAATTTTTGAAAATTTTTTCGACTTTTAATTTTTGAAAATTTTTTCGACTTTTAATTTTTGAGATTTTTTCATCAACACTGAAATGTGTAGAAGGGTCCCCCTTTAAACATTTTTTGTTATCTCAAAATTTATAAAAAATTTTAACAAACATTTATAAAATTTTTTTCGACTGTCAATTTTTGAGAATTTTTTCGACTTTTATTTTTTGAGATTTTTTTCATCAACACTGAAATGTGTAGAAGGGTCCCCCTTTAAACATTTTTTGTTATCTCAAAATTTATAAAAAATTTTAACAAACATTTTTAAAATTTTTTTCGACTGTCAATTTTTGAGAATTTTTTCGACTTTTATTTTTTGAGATTTTTTTCATCAACACTGAAATGTGTAGAAGGGTCCCCCTTTAAACATTTTTTGTTATCTCAAAATTTATAAAAAATTTTAACAAACATTTTTAAAATTTTTTTCGACTGTCAATTTTTGAGAATTTTTTCGACTTTTATTTTTTGAGATTTTTTTCATCAACACTGAAATGTGCAGAAGGGTCCCCACTTTGAACATTTTATAGTCTTTTTAAATTTAGATATTGGTGCTACATTTTTTAAACAGGTAAGGTATATAATCACTTATTAACCAATTATATACCTTTAAATATTAAAAATTTGGATAGTAGAATCAAAATTACGTCACACTTTTATAACGTACTGCACGTTGTACAGAATTGAACTCAGTATTTATTTTTGTAGTATTTAGACCTACAGACTATATTTTAGGATCCCTAAATTAATCTAAGCTGTCCGGGAGTAAACCATCTCCAATTTCTTGCATACCTGTCCTAACGTGCACCCGATAATATAATAGTAAGTAAATTATACGTCGATGCCCACAAAAATATACAGGATAAATCAAAATTTCGTCTTAGAAAATACGATCAATTTTTTTTCTTCAAAATAGACGTTGGTTTGGAAATAAATAGGTATGAAATAAAGAAAGGATAATAAAGGTATTGAAGCCTAAACTTAGAGATTCAGGTTCATTTTTTTAGTTAGTCAATTGGGGTTAAATCTGGAGATATTTCGCAGTTGATGTTCGTATTTTTTTAGGTTTCACGGCATTTATTGGCCAGCTTTTCTTCTAGCGGCCAATCTAGAACTGCCAAAATCAATTTTTTGCCATTCACATTGGACCGTTGACAACGAAAAAATGTCAAAATCTAAAGGAAACGTTGTCTGTCCTTTCGAAACCGCCAAAACTTACACGACAGACGGCGTACGATATTTTCTACTGCGCGAAGGAGTCGCTCACAGCGATGGAAGTAAGTTGGTGAATATTAGTGGCCCTAGGGTCGAACTTTGTGACACACCGAATATTTTTTATTATTATTATTATCATCTAATTTTAGAATGTAACTTTAGTTCTTTTTGTATAATTTTAGATTACAGTGATGTAAAAGTGTTGAGAACTCTCAATTCCGAGTTGGCCGATACGTTGGGAAATTTATTGAGCAGGTGTACCGGTAGCGCGCTAAATCCAAATCAAAAATTTCCAAAAATTGATAAAAATGTTTTGGAAGAGTTGAAAAAATCGGACACCACCAAAAGACTGATTGAAAATGTGGAAAATTTACCAGGTAAGGTACATTTTTATCTATCCGATAATACTAATTTATGTTTTAACCCTTTAACGAGTAAATTGGTGGTACATACTTGTATTAGCAATTTTTTTTGTGGTACGCATATATACCAGCAACATTTGTTATGGTACACATACGTACCACTCGGGAGGTAAAGTTAAAAAAGTCAAAATCTCAAAAAGTACAAACCAAACGAAGATTTTTGTTAATATAAATAATTTTTCTAATTTTGACATATAAAGTAACATATTTTGTAATCGCAAAAAAAAAAAGAAAAAATAAAAGCAGTAAATTGCGATTTATTTTTAAAATAATTGAACACCGTTATTGAAAACTGCCCAGAAATGTTGAGGGTAAAATTTTGACGTACTCCTTTAAGGATAACGGATAAAAACGTTATTTTTTTTAAATTTCCCGCGGTTGTCAAAAATCAGATCGAAAGCACTGCACCTTATTTTTATTATTACTATTGAAAAAAACGTTGTAGGGCAATCAAATACAACAATCTTTTAAAATATTTGATTGGAAGTAGGTATGCATTGGTGGATATGAGAAGAGAAAGACAACAAGAAAAGGAAGAAATGAAGTAAAAGAACCAACAAAATAAAGAAGATCTGATGGAACTCAAAAACAAAAAAGAAGATTTGATGAAAGAAATGAAGAAAAATAGACTACAAATAAGAGAAAATGACAACAAGAGAAGGAAGAAATGAAGAAAAATAAAGAAGAGATACCTAGTGAACAAAATGAATGAAATTGAAAACAATATTATACAAGATATAAAAAAGGGACAGGAAGAATAGAAAGAAACTAAAGAAATTGGTGAAATTAATGATAATGACAGTGAAGAAATAAAGAATAAAAAAAGAAAGTTAAAATAAGATGATGAAGAAGAAATAATTAAGAAAGTATAGAAATAGATATTGAAGAAATAAATACAAGGAAAGAAGGGATGTAGAAAGTTAGAAGAAAAAATAAGCAAACAAAGAAAAAATATAGAAAGGAGTAAAGATATGAAAAAAAAAAAAAAGAAATAAAGATAAAATTAAAAATTGAAGATAAATAAATTAATGAAGGAAGTCAGATTAAGGATTAAAAAAAAGTATTAATAAACAAAATAAAAGTCAAATGAAAATTGAATAATTAAAAAGGAAATCGAGGAATAAAATAAAGTAAACTAGGAAACAAGTCAAAGAGGAAATCAGAAGGCAAGATAAGGAAAATAAAAGAAAAATAATTGGAAAATAATTTAGAAAGCCACCAATAAAGAAGATAGAGAAAAGCAGGAAACGAAATGAAGAAAGGAAAAAGAAATATAAAAGTCTAAAAAACAAAGTTAGTGTTAAACAAAATCTTGCAAATAGAAGACAAATAAAAACGAAAGTAAAATAAAGAGATGGATTAAGAAGATAATGAAGAATAGAAGATTGAAAGAAAAGGAAAGAGAGACGAAGAAGGTGAAAGAAAAATAATAAAATTTAGATGGGGGACGAACATTTTAAATTTTAAAACTAGCCTATAAAAAGGAAATTGAATAGATAAAGTGAATAAAATAGAAATAAATAGGTCAATGGTAAGTGTGAGAGTGGACATAGTGTATGAAAGTGGATATAAAGATAATATCGGTAATTCCGTCACCCTAAAATGTTCACCAAGTTCGATGTTTTATAACTTTTTTATGTTTTATTTTATTTTTATTAATTTTCCTCCAGTTTGTACATAAATTTATTGTGATATTCCTAAATTATTATAATACGTTATATTTTTCGTTTAGACAATATTATACAGGATTAAATCAAAATGTTGTTTTTTGCCGCAACTTCAAAACACTTTGCAGCAAAATTGAGGCAGATCATTTTGTTTACATACAGTTTGCTGTAATCTCAGATGTATTCCAAACATTTTGTTTTTTGATTCATCCCATTATCTTATCTTTTCTGAATTTTGCAGTTTTTTTAAATAAAATGCTGTTCATTTTAATTAATAACAAAGCGAACATCAGTACAGTGGCCATTCTCCTTCTGTTAGAGCCTTGATGCCCAATAAAGTTTCCCGTTCTAAGCATCTGGAACTGTAAACCGCAGAATTCCCAGAGTACTTTTAGTACGGCCATACTCTATTAGAGCAACAATTCGACCCAAGGCTGCTGTATTTAATACTATTATAGCAACACAACAAATTCTAATACGGAACTGTCAATGTCAAACATTTTGTCACAATAATCGCGTACTAATCGCAAATTAATTAAAATTAATATTCAGAGCTTGATTTTTCCCGAAAATTTCAAGTTGATATCGTTTTTTCCTTCTTAGAATTTTTTTAATTTCAACCCCCTTACCTCCTCATTTTTATGTAGAGGCTTCGTTCCCTTATGACAAGTATAACGTGAAATATAGTATGTAGTGCGACAGTATAGATTCTACATACAGTTTAGTTCTTTAATTTTTTTTTATATTTCACTTTCTTTGTTCATAATTCGTCATTTTTTCATTAAACGAAATTTATTTTATTCGCAAACCCCTTTAAAAGCGACGCCAATGCGTACAAACAAGTTCATTCTACCCATTGTCTGGCATAATAAAGCCGGTGATAATAACTTACAATTTGTATGTTATTTCGCTTTTTGCCACTTTTTCCAGTGTTGACTATCGATTTTTATTTAGTCGTTAAGAAATTGATATATTGACGGCTTAACTTTTCCAACTCGTATTGCGAGTTAAAACTTTCTTTTGAAAAAACATTTTGTTATTTTCTCTCTTTAAGATCAGAGACCGTTTGTTTTACGAGATACGGGACGTAACGTAAATTTTAAATTTATACATTTTAATAGTTAGTTTGGAAATAGATAATAGTCACAGATGGTGGTTGTGGAACTAAATTTGTTGCATAAAACATGGCATAATGCCTCGAGTTATGTATATGTGTTAGTTTGGTTTGATGGAAGAACAGGAGAGAGATGATGAGAACGTAGGATAAGTAGGTCAAGGGGATATAGGACAGCAAGGTTTAGAAGACATAGTTATCAAAGAAACACAGCTGCAGAAGGAAACAATAATGAAAGAAAAAGATGAAAGAGATTTAATTGTGAAGATGCTGCTAGAAATGAGGAAAAAGAGTCAAGAAGATAAGGAAGAATTAATGAAGAAAATGGATGAGAACTGTAGGAAAGTGGATAAATTAGAGGAAAATAGTAAGAAAATGGATGAAAATAGGAAACAAGACAAAGGAGAAATAATAAAGAAGATAAATGAAATGATAGGAACATATAGTGAAGAAATAAAGAAAATGAAAAAAGAAATATGCAAATTAGAAAAATTTAAAATAAATAAAAACGTCGACCAAAATTTCGAATTAAATAAAGAAAAAAAAAATATAGAAACAAAGGAAGTTGAAATGAATATAGAAATAGAAGAAGGAAATATAGAAGTAAAAGAGGTAAAATTAGAAATTGAAGTACTAAAAAAAAAGACAGATTCTGATTGTAGAAAAAGAAGATAATAAAATTAGTAGAAGAAAAAGATATATATTGAAGAATTAAAAAAGAAATTAGAGAGAAAATTAAAGAAAAAAGGAATCAAATTCAAGAGGAAAATAGAAAACAAGATAAAGGAGAAACGAAATCATATAGAGTCAGGTAGAAGAAATATAAAAGTATTATAACGAATAAAGATAAAGTAAGAGTTAAATTAACACAAACACAGGAGGATGAAATAAAAATATACATAAGGCTCGAAACAGACCGTTAAGTTCTATGGCCTGGTTAGTTTCTTCCATTCGCCCCTATTCTTGGCTTTTTCTTTCCAGTTGATGATATTTTTTTCCTTAATATCTTCTATAATCGATTTCCTCCATTTCTTTCTAGGCCTTCCTCTCTTTCTTTTCCTTCTGGTGTTGTCCAAGCTACTCGTTTTACTGTCCTTGAGTCCTCCATCCTTTCTAAGTGTATTGTATTGTAACCTTTTTGACTGTAATATTTCGTTTATGTTGGGTTCGTTAAATATTTCGTAAATTTTTTTGTTTGTTCGTCTTTCCCATCCTTCTTCTGTCTTTTTGCCCCATATATTCTTCTTAGTATCTTCCGTTCCCATATTTCAATTTTGGTCTGTTCTTTCTTATTTAGTGTCCATGTCTCACTACCGTATAGCATTGTAAGTCTGATTATTGTTTTGTACACACATTTCTTTATTTCCCATGAATATTCTTTAGATTTAAGTAAATTATGTAAAACTCCTGCGCATCTATTGCTCTTTGCTAAACAGAGATCTATTTCAGCTTGTTCTTCGCATCTATTTGTAATGAGAACACCGAGGTACATGTAACTGTCTGTTTCGTCTATTGTTATTTTTCCTATGGTTTTAGTTTGTAATTCTAGCTTTCCAGGATTGACTCTTTTTTTTTATTTATTTTTAGCCCCATTGTTCCTGCCGCGTCTAATAACTGTTCTGTTATGCTTTTAAATTCTTTTTGGCTTCTCCTAACAGTACATCATCTGCGTATGCTAATGCTTGGTGGGATTTGTTGATCAGGGTTCCATATCTGTTTATTTCACTGTTTCTGATGACAATTTCAAGGGTTAAGTTAAAAAAAGAAGGGTGGATAATGGGTCTCCCTGCCTAAGCCCATTTTGGACTTCAAATTCTTCAGATTCCTCACCTCCTACTCTTATTGCACACCTTGTATTTTCCAGGGTCATGTTCGTCAGTTTTACAAGTTTAAGAATTTTTAGTTCTTTCAAAGCATTTATCAATTTTCGTCGATTTACCGTATCATATGCGCTTTTAAAATCAATAAACATAATATGTGTCGGTATTTCGTATTCATAGCAACATGTGAGAGTACCTGTTTTAAAATAAAGATTTGGTCAGTCGTTGACCTGCCTTTTCTAAAGCCACATTGGTATTCTTCGATAATTTTTTTTCCTTCTACTTCTATTCTTCTTTTTATTAACGTGGCTAGTACCTTATATGTAACGTCCAGCAAAGCTATACCTCGATAGTTTCCACAGTCTGCTGAGTCCCCTTTGGGGCAGTATTACTGCTTTCCTCAAATTTAGTGACATTTCTTTCGATTTCCATATTTCTTTGATTAGTTGTATTATTTGTGTTATTAGTTGTTGTCCTCCGTATTTAAGGTTCTCTGCGGTAATTTTGTTTATATTATTCTTCATATTTGAAATAATTTCTATTATCTCTTCTTCTGTGGGTTCCTCAGCGGTGTACATAGGGCTTTCATTTGCTTCTTTTTCTTCTTCCTCTTCTTCTTCTACTTTCTGCCGTTCAGGTTCATCGTTCAGTAGTTTTTGGAAGTATTGTTTCCATCTTTGCATTTGTTCGCTTTTTCCTTCTATTAAATTTCCCTCCTTACATCTTTATAGAAGTGTTTAATTTAATATTTTTTGTAATTTTCTTAAATTAAAATAAATAAAAATAAAAGTGACATTAAATTAAAATTAAAACATATACTGGGGGATGAAAGGAAAATTAAAGTAAGAAAAGTAATAGTAGAGTAAAATCAAGACAGTTGCAAAATAAGTATGAGATGAAAATTAAATTAGATAAGGGAGAATGGGAAAAAATATTTAAAAGTCGGAGGTTGACAGAAAATGAGAGAGTCTGGTAAAAGGTAAAAGAAAATTAGGAAAATTTAGATACAGGGAAGCGGAGACAAAGAGCTAACAGGAAATGCACAAGAGAAAATTAAAGAATTTAAAATTTTTTTTTTTTATTATTAAATTTGGTATAATAATATATATTTGTAAATTTGTAGAGTTGAACCAATCCCTTTGTATTTTTTGTAAAATTGATATACACGGTGTTTCTAATCAATACATTTAAAATTCAAAATTATGGTTGTGACGTACCGGTGTTCTTCTTATTGTAATCGGATCATAACTGCCTTTAAATATAAACGGTTTTTCGTCTATAAGTGCGAGAGAGATGCAGAGAGAGGCACGACGTAACCGATATGGTTATATTAAATTTGTTGTTCTGGAAACTTCCAATTAAATCAACGGAACAATGGCGGCGCCTATTTTTTTTCATTTGAATTATTTATTGGTTTGGAACGGCATTCAGGGCTAGCCTGATGTATAAATTAAATATGTTGGCTATATTTCCAACAGTAACCACTTTATTAGTTTTTTTCGGTAAATTAGTCAACAGTTCCTGTATATATCTGATGACAAGGGTCGAAATTGGTTACCGTTTAATTATCAGTATTAAAAAAATTGTATGGGACCGAGTTTAAGTTTTATTATCTTAATACCTTCTTCATTTGAGAATTTAATTATTTATAATCGCTCGAGGGACAAAAAAAAGAAAATTGAACAATCTTTTAACAATCTTTTAACCCTAAAGATAAAAAGGTCCCTCTCGCCTTCCAACAGAGAGAAAAAAAAAGTAATTTTAATCAACCCCTGCCCTACTGCTAACAAGGTTTCGAGTGATAATTTTTTCTGGACATTAACCTCAACAAATTCAAACGATTAAGAGACGTCGCTGATTAAAAAAGTTGTTCTAATCTCTCAGGTGTAACACTTGTCTTTGTCTTTCTTTTTTTTTTCGGGGACATTTTCGTTCCATCGTTTCTTTTTTGTTTTGCGAGACGGCCGAAAAGGTTCCTAGGGAGTGTCGAATTTAATTTATTTCAACGTGTAAGGGCAGATCGATCGTGTCCACAGATAGTGAGTGAGAGGGAAGAAAAACTTTTAGTCGGATTGATATGTTTCAGAAATTCTAAGGATAATTCGAAATATATGACAAAAAAATTATAAAAAGGTGATAATAATAGTTATTTATGTATCCAGTTACGAAATACTCTATTTTGTGTACCGAGTAAATATTTGCGGGACGAGCGGAGCGAGGTCCCGCAAAATAAACAAGTTACACAAAAGGGCATTTCGTAACGTGTCACATACAAGATTTTTTCTAATTTTGACTTCATTATTTATAAAATTATGTTTAGTTAAAAAATAATTCGTCATCATTTTTTTGTAGGTAGGTAATTATTGAATAATTTCTAAATTTTTCTTCATCTATTGTCTCCTTCTTCTGTTCAGTAACTGAATTATTTACATTTTATTCATACATATAATTAAATGCTTAAAAACATTTTTTGAAATAAATTTTCTAAAATAAAATTTTGAATAATTATTTTCTTCCGTCAGCTGTCTATTGTCACATTTGCTATTTATATATCAACTTGGTTAATATCGATTTCCTCCTCCTGTCTTTGTGATGTCCTCCTTCTATTCCTGTATGACTTATCTTGCTCTGTTTTACCTCTTCATCTACTTCTATATCTATCTCTTCTTCTACCTCTTCCTCTGTAGCTGTCTCTATGTCGGCTTTTTTTTATTTACTTAACTTTTAATTGACATTTCTTTACATTTTCATCTAATTCTTTTAACTTTAATATAAGATACGATTTACAAAAGATACTAAACAACTTTCCTCAACTGCAACTAGACTAAATCTTTTTTATTTCTTTTAAGACACCTGCAAAAACCATTACGAAACCCTCAACTTCTACAAAACAATAGACGCAATTCTCGCCACCTTACATAGCGCCAATCTATTTTTCGAAACACTAAAACCGTGGGAACTCAAGAAATCTCCAGAAACCCATCCACATCTTGACGTCGTCCTTCATCTAACCTTGGAAACGTTGAGGGTGACCGGAATCTTGCTTCAACCCATCATTCCCAACATGTCGCAAACGTTGCTGGATAAAATTAACGTTGGAAATAGCGAAAGAAACTTTTGTGATGCTAAAAAAGTTTCTTGGCGCGATGTAGGTTTTAAGGAAAAGGATTTGAGCACTGATAAAATTGTTTTGTTCAGAAGGATCGTCAGTGAAGATGATAAAGATAAGAAAGTAAAAGGTAGGAAAGGTTGAAGTGTATTTAGCAACATTTTTAAATAAAAATTTAAGGTTTTTTTGATTGTTGTTTTATTATTTTTATGGATAATTAAACCCAGCAAAAATGTATGTTATTAAAAATAAAAAGAATCAATCTTATATTAATGAAAATGGATTAACATAGTAAGGACTTGTTTTATGTTAATAAAGTAACATTTTTTAATTCAAATGATCAAATAAGAATCAAATAATAAATAAATTTAGCAGGAGAAAATAAATTTATGTCTTACCTGGATCGTACACACACTATTTCTGTCCTTCAAAGTAAGCCACGCGTAGGATAATGATGCAACTAGAGCTCTTCAGTGTTAATGTACCTCGGAAAAGATCTTTTAGGGCTCCAGGATTGGAGATCTGAGGTTCGGGGTCGATAAACACAATCAAAGTGCCACTAACGTATATTAAAAGATACTTTACTGACTTTAAAAGATTTATTTACATTTTGTTGCAGCTCAAACTGCTAAAAACTTGTTGATGTTAAAAAAGTTTTTTTCTGCAACTGCCAAGAGAAGGACTATTTTGAACATTAACGTCAGTGTCTAAAATCTTTTTCATTGACATTATTTTTTTCGTTAGCATGACTCCGTGCGCAAAATATTTTGCGCATCACGTACTTATTATTGATTCAATAGGCGAAGGAAAGTATAAAACAAGTATAAAGAGATCATAGTTAATTTATTTTTAGAGATTTTTATATATACATTAATGACAGTACACTAAGAAAAATATACACTTAAAAGCACCGAATTATACGTAATAATTTATTGAAATTAAAACACTTCTAAGTATTTAGTTTTCTTGATGCATAAACACCTATGTAAGGGTATAAAACATTTAATTTTTTTTTACAATAGTTCTCCGTAAAGAAGAAACGAGATACATTCAGTCTATATACAATATGTATGTTTTTTCTTTAATTTATATCGACATATATAATAGATTTATACAGATATGTATGTTTCTTAATATAATTTAAGAGCAGCATCTTTACATTATTATTATTATTATATATTATATAAATATTATTCAATAAACCCTGTTTCTTAAGTCTATCAGAGAGAGAAAGATATATTCGGAAAACCGGCAACGCTGCGTAACAGTTAGTAGCGGGGATAGGCCGTAAAAAAATTAAAAAATATTGATTTTTTAACTTTAGTACACTTGGTAGTTCAAAAAAACAATTTAGTTATCAATTATAACTGATTTTTGAGCTTATTATATTGATTAAGTTTTAAAAAATAAGTGTAGCGGCTGCCAGTTTTCTCAGTGTATTTTAAAATTTGATAAAACAATCACAACCAGGAAAAGTATTGCTATTTCGCCTACGATAAAATATAAAAAAGAGATCAACAATGATATGACTAGTTTTGTTGTTTTTGTACAGAATATACATGAATATATTAGATTCAAATCTGTCATTGAGGATTTTTACAATGTTTTTGGTACTACCGGCACATAGTTTGTACGGAAATATTTATAGGAAAATTATATATACGATTTGTCGAAACAGGAACGGATTGAAGCTTAGGAATACTTTCAGGCGAGTGATATTGAAATGTAAATTAAATAACTTGACAATTTACAAAAAAAAAATGTTAATCTGCAGCTGATTTATAAATCTATATAAAATTATAAACCGGCGCATGGTTTATAATTATCATTAACCGGCACATAGTTTATGAAACTTATATACTGCCAAAATATAATTAAAGTGGCAAAATTATAACTGGATACATGGTTTATAATAAACATAAACCGCTACATAGTCTATAAAACCCATAGACCGGCACATAACTTATACAAAACTAAAAAGCGGCAAATAGTTTTGATGGAAAAATAATTATAAGCCGGCATATGGTTTATAATAAACATAAACCGGCGTATAGTTTATAAAACTAATAAACTGATAAAGTGCCAAATAATTTTCATGAAAAATTATAACCCGGCACATTCATTATAATAAACATAAACCGGCACATAGTTTATTAAACTTAAACGGACACATAATTTATACAAAAGTATAAATAAAACGGCAAGTAGTTTTCGTAAAAAAATTATAATCCGACACATGGTTTACATTAAACATAAACCAGTACATAGTTTATAAAACACACTGGCATATAGTTTATACAAAACTATAAAATACATGACAAATAGTTTTTATGGAAAAATTGTAATCCAGCACATGGTTTATAATAAACATAAACCGGCACGTAGTCTATGAAACTCTTAAACTGGCACATAGTTTATACAAAACTATAAATAAAGTTGCAAATAGTTTTCATGAAAAAATTAAATTATAACGTGGCACATGGTTTATAATAAACATAAACCGGCACATAGTTTATAAAACTTATAAACAGGCACATAATTTATACAAAACTAAGTAAAACGGCAACTAGTTTTCGTAGAAAAATTATAACCCGGTACATGGTTTATAGTAAACATAAACCGGTACATAGTTTATAAAACTGGCACATATTTATATATACAAAACTATAAAATAAATGACAAATAGTTTTCATGAAAAAATTGTAAACGGGCACATGGTTTATATAAAACCATAAATAAAATGGCAAATAGTTTTCATGGAAAAATTAGAACGCGACATATGGTTTGTAATAATCATAAACCGGCACATGGTTTATAATAAACATAAACCGGCACATAGTTTATAAAACTCATAAACAGCCACATAGTTTATACAAACCTAAATAAAACGGCAAATAGTTTTCTTAGAAAAATTATAACCTGGTACATGGTTTATATTAAACATAAACCAGCACATAGTTTATAAAACAAAAACTGGCACATCGTTTATACAAAACTATAAATAGTTTGCATGGAAAAATTGTAAACCGGCACATGGTTTATATAAAACCATAAGTAAAGTAACAAAGTTTTCATGGAAAAAATTATAACGCGGCATATGGTTTATAATAAACAAACCGGCACAGTTTATAAAACTTATATACTGGTACATAGTTTATATAAAACTATAAATAAAACGGCAATTAGTTTTCGTAGAAAAATTATAACCCGGCACATGGTTTATATTAAACATAGTTTATAAAACAAACTGGCACATAATTGTTTATAAAAAACTATAAAATACGTGACAAATAATAGTTTTCATGGAAAAATTGTAATCCGGCATATGGTTGATATAAAACCATAAATAAAGTGGCAAAGAGATTTTATAGAAAAGTTATAATCCGGCACATGGTTTATAATAAACATGCACAGGCACATAGTTTATAAAAATTTTAAACTGGCACATTGTTTAAACAAAACTATAAATAAAGTGGCAAATAGTTTTCATGGAAAAATTGTGAACCGGCCCATGATTTATATAAAACCATTAATAAAGTGGCAAGTTTTTATGGAAAAGTTATAATCCGGCACATAGTTCATAATAAAACCGGCACATAGTTTGTAAAACTCATAAACTGGCACATCGTTTATACAAAACTATAAATTGGCAAATAGTTTGCATGGAAAAATTGTAAACAGGCACATGGTTTATATAAAACCATAAGTAAAGTGGCAAATAGTTTTCATGGGAAAATTATAGCGCGGCATATGGTTTATAATAAACATAAACCGGCACATAGTTTATAAAACTTGTTAACTGGCACATAGTTTATATAAAACTGTAAACTGGAACATAGTTTATATAAAACTATATATAAAAAAACGGCAACTAGTTTTCGTTGAAAAATTATAACCCGGGTACATGGTTTATATTAAACCTAAACTGGTACATAGTTTATAAAACATAAACTGGCATATAGTTTATACAAAACTATAAAATAAGTTACAAATAATAGTTTTCATGGAAAAATTGTAATCCGGCATATGGTTGATATAAAACCATAAATAAAGTGGCAAAGAGTTTTTATGGAAAAGTTATAATCCGGCACATGGTTTATAGTAAACGTAAACAGGCACATAGTTTATAAAACTTTTAAACTGGGATATCGTTTAAACAAAACTATAAATAAAGTGGCAAATAGTTTTCATGGAAAAATTGTAAACCGGCCCATGGTTTATATAAAACCATTAATAAAGTGGCAAGTTTTCATGGAAAGTTATAACGCGGTATATGGTTTATAATATAACATAAACCGGCACATAGTTTATAAAACTTATAAACTGGCACATTTTTTATGCAAAACTATAAAATATAGTGCTATATAATTTTTATAGAAAAATTGTAATCTGGCACGTGATTTGTACAAAACCATGAATAAAGAGCAAATAGTTTTCATGGAAACATTATAATTCCGTACATGGCTCATAAACTGGCACATAATTTTTAAAACCTAAACAGACACATCATTTATATAAAACCATAAAATAAAGGGGCAAATAGTTTTCATAGAAAAATTGTAATCCAGCACATGGTTTTTAATTATAATAAACACAAACTGGCACATAGTTTATATAAACCCATAAATAGTTTTCTTGGAAAAATTATAAAATGAAATGAAATTTATAAAACAATTGTTAAAATGACACACGGTTTAAAATAATCATAAACAGACATTTATTTTATTACAAATTAATGGCTAAATAGTTTCTATAAAGACAAATTGGTATGAAATTTATAGAAAAATGTTTAAACTGACACGCGATTTATAGAAAATTACATTTTACTGAACATTTTTTATAGAAAATTATCAATAAGCATGATTTGTAAACCAATTTGTGGAAAATTATATGTGGATTATAGTTTATAGAAAATTTAAAATGAATACGTAACTTATGGAAAATTTTAAATTGGCATATGGTTAACCGAAAATTACCAACAAAATTGGCATATGGTTAACCGAAAATTACCAACAAAATTGGTATATGGTTTAGAGAAAATTACAATTTATCAGTTTACCGAAAATTTTTCATAGAAAATTAACAAGCTGCATATGCCTTGTAATCAATTTGTAGAGAATTTGCGGCTTTTAGTTTATGGAAAATTCAAAATGAATATTTCGGTAACTTATGACGTGGTTAATAAAAAATTATAATCCTGCTCATTATCTACTGGCACATGATTTATTTAAAGTCACAAATTTCATGTGGAAAATTATAAACTTGCATGTGGTATATACACATTTTTAAAACGTCACTTTAAACTTAATCAAAAAATTATAAACTTTCTCACGATTTACAGTGTTTAATGAACTGGCACATGGATTATAGAAAATTATTAATGTCCATTTGGTTTTTAACCAATTTTGGAACATTACGTGTGGCTTATAGTTTATAAAAATTAAAATTATTACTTAGTAAATCATATAAAGTTTTAAACCGGCACATAATTAATAAAAAATATAAATTATGTAGCAATATTTAAACTTTCTTAATATCTGCAGAATTTAATGAACTGGCACATAGTTTATAGAGAATATAAATCATAAACATTTTTAAACTCTTCTAAACCTGTAAAAATTATTGTACCAAGCCGGCAAGTGGTTTATACATTATAAACCGGCATATACTTTGTAAAGTATGGAATTGAAAAACTATCTATTCTAATCTAACAAAAACTATAAATTGGCACATGATCTATAGATAATTAAATGTCAAATTTCATTTAAAATCTATTTATAAATAGAAAAGCGTTTAAATACCTAAACAAGTATTAAATTAAAAATCTATATCTGATCTAGCAAAAAATATGAACTGGCACATGACATAGACAATTAAATCTCAAATTTCCATTAAAATCCATTTATGAAAAAGTGTATAAATAACTAAACCAACCATGTATTTATCAGGACATCCTGCATAATATTCTTCGGCACATACTTCATATAGAATTAAATTGAAAATATATACAGGGTGTTAATATATTCGACCGACATTAGAGCTCTCGTTAATTAATGAATTTTAATATAGAAACATGGACCCTTAGAGGTCTGATCTAGCAAAAACCATGAACTGGCACATGCTCTATAGAAAATTAAATGTCAAATGTCCATTAATAAATAAAAAAAAAGTATAATTAACTGATCAAACCATTTATTTATCGGGACATCCTATATAATATTCCTATTTAAATTCGTCAACCGCATTTCCGTTAAGCAATCGTAAAATTTCCTTATTCCGGCTTTAGAATGAAAATAAATAACCGGATTTTTCCGAGTTTTCCCTCTTATTCTTCAAGGGCAACAGTCGCACGAAAGAATGAATGACTGATTCGAATTGCGTTATTGAATTTTCGCGAATTGCCCTCTGGTGTGGTAAGGAAAATCGATAAGTGGCTGAATCCGTCGATTAGGAGTTTTCCGGAAAACGAACGTTTTCCAGTTATCCCGAAATAAAAAAAAAACAGGCAGCGGATTGTAATTTTTTTAAAAATGATGTGCCGGTTTTTAATTTTTGGTAAATTTGATGGCGATTTGAAATTTTGCATACACTGTGGAGCAAATTAAACACAAGTTTTTGTTTTGAAAAAATACGCTTATTACTAGGAAAAACACACTATGGTAGATTTTCACAAAAAAATAAAATTAATATTGAAAAATATCAATAAACTAAGCACATTAAATATATTCATATACATGGTGCCCCACAAACAATTGGAGATTCTCTAATTGATGATAAAATCACACATGTTGGACAAAATGTTATTCGTTTTCGAAATACAAGGTGTTAAAGTTGAAAATTCAAAAATTATTAATGCCAATAATATTTTTATTACTTAGTTTAATTGTACTAAATTTTGCAAACGTTTTTGTTGTCGTGATGGTCTAGAAGTAGGGCATTTGTGTACAGAACAAAGATGTCTGGGTTTGAATCCCAGAGACGACAGGCTTTTTTTCAAATCTCCAAGTATTTGTTTTCACCTTAGGAGTTAGGGGATAATTTTAATGATAATTAGTAGGGGGATTTATTAGATTTGTTTCCGAATTTTCAAATTTGTTTGCATGAAACAAATGTTGTGTTTGACAGAGAAAAATGTATTATTTTGGACCGATTTTTGTATTTATTTGAATGAAGACTTGAAAATCTTGTTGGATATAAATCATTTATTTGAAATGAAAAAATAATAGATATTTGTTTGAATCAAAGAAATATATATTTGCAAAATACTATGGTGTTGCCATGGGATAATTCAAACAATGTCAGCGTATTTACAGTTCGTCATAGATTCTCGCTGATTGTGCATGGTCGGGTCGCAGTTGTGAAAGATTATAGTGATTTTTATTTATGTAAAAAAAATTGAGTTTGGCGTGTGTGTGTTTGAAATATTGTTTCATTTTTGTAGTAAGTGATTAGGACAAATATATACTTCTTGATGATGGTGGGTGAGGTTTTCCGGGTTTTCCTCACCTTTAAGTCAAATGGCACCATCAATCATCTTTAAGTCGCCCCGGAGCGCCACGGCAAATAATAATAGCCGTCCCTTCCCCTACACAAGTCGTTCAGTCGACTTCAGGGGTTGAAATTCACTCGTAAGGAGGTGAATTAGGGAGAGTATTATTATTATTGTTTGATTTTGACTACTAGTAGATGATAATGGAATAATTATTTATCTCAAATTAATTAAGGATATACATTCCAAACAACTACTTAAAGTGTATCAGATAAATATTAGTTTGGACCATAGGAAAAACATATTTGTTTGAGCAAAAAAAAAATTCAGTACAATGTAAAAATTTAACTGGGTGCGTAGGCCAGTCCGTTCCTGTTTCGATAAGGAAAAAATAAATGTTATTACAATTTTCGATTCGTCGAAAATTTTCAATGGTGACTAGATCGATCCGAGAGCTGACGTGTAATTGATTGAAACGTATTCAAGAGGGCGCTTTGATTGATTTCGGTTTTCATTTTCATTTCGGGTTCGCCTAAAATAATGGGACATTAATGGGCTTTTTTTTTATTCGGTTTTCGGGCCGTTTTTGAAACATCGAAGGGCTAGAGGAAAACACTTCAAAGACAAACACTCTGGATTTGGGTTTTTCGGAATGTTTCGTTTAATTAAAAACATCATCAGGTTTGCTTGTATACTTACTGTTTTGAATTTGTAGATAATCTGGTTTAAATTGGTTTTTTTATAAGTCTGGGGCTTAAATATGTATAGAAAGTAAAATACCAAGAATTATTTTGACATCAGAATATACTCAAAGAGGAAATAAATTGTCTTTAAAAAACTTTGAAGATAAATTATTAAGCCTTTTAATACGTCATCTTTAGGATGCAGCAATGAAATGTTCAGTATTATTTTATTTGGATTTTAATTATATTCCGGCTAGAAGGACCACTATTTGATTTTACTGTTAATAAAAATCTAAAGCTAATCCTTATATAGGGTGAGTCAAACAAGTCATAATAAAATGTTGCTATGGAAAAGATGTAGGGTGGGGTATTGAAGTTGGTTTTCTAGAAATAAATTCTTACCAAAATTGGCACAAAGGCATAACTTTAGGCAAAGAATATTATTTAATTTAATAATTCACAATTTGATACACGGTGTGCCACACGAGCGATTCCTGATGATGTAATTGGATCATACTTTTTTTTGTAAAATTGTTATACTTTTTTTAATTTACACATCAGCTCTCGATTTTTAGGTACATATACATTCGTTTTAGAGGTACATATGTCTTTGGTTATGATGATAACGCACAGCCCTTAATATAAGAAGAATTATTTCATTACTACTAAATATCTACATACGTTACACGATCAGGAATGCATTATTTTTGGAATTTCCCATCTACAGTCTCGGGATCACTACAGGTTGTCTCAATATTTTTATATAAGATACTATAATCTAATAAATACAACTCTTGACTGTTGTTTTGATTTTATACTCGGTAGTTGGACAACCTGTACGCGAATCTTGTCATAGTTTATATCTAATTTTCGTTCCTTACTACACCATGGTGTCCTGAAGGTTTTCGCAGTCCTGGTGTCATATGGCGCTGATATCTTCTAGGATGTCCCTTTCGGAGTTGACTCTCGTTTGTCTCACGGACTCGCAACTCATGTGTTCGCTCGAAAATTCGCCGAAAGAACCGTTTCTTCGCGCGTTGACCACTAGGGTTTTGGTACCGTAATCCGTTATGTATTTGTCGTTGCTTAAACTCACGGACTGGTACCCACCTACGGTAAAAAACAATGTACAGTATGATTCCATCATGCTTTAATCTAGTCTCATTATCTTGGACTAGGTTGGGAGGAGATGCTATAAGAAAAGTCTCGCTTATTTATATCTCTATAACTATTGATCCTATCGAAAACATAAATAATTTCAATTTGTCGTGGATCTAAATAAACAACCTAGTCTCTGTCAAAAATAAAAAATGGCGAATTCAGTAATATTAACTCATTAACAAAGGAATAAAAAAACAAACTCTGATACCTAGCAGTTGCAAAAGATGTACAAAAAAGAAAAATTCTGTTGGTCATAAACATTTACGCGAAAGTAAATTGCAAAAAAAGACAGTGTTGGTCCAAAAAATAGTAATAAAAGAAAAAATATATAAATTCAATTGAAGAAGATAAGGCTGAATACGATCATAATGATGAAGTGTTTTATATAAGATCACTAAATAGATTAATCTTTAATAAATATTGGCATAAAGCCATTAAAACTAGAAGTAAAAGAGTTCGCGTAATATTAGATAGTGGCACACTTTCTTCCAGAGTAAATTATAGAGCAAATTGGTAGCGATATCAAAGGCGCCTCAAGAAATCAAGTAGTAAGCTCTACCAAGGTGGGGTTGGTTGTAGCTTAGCCATGGCTTTGTAGTTTAGATTGCTTGCTTGCACACTCGCTTAACAGACCCGCTTTGTGGGTAGGTAACTTTTCTACAGGACGATGGAGAAATGCAACCATCGGAGTGCCTGCCTTCTCGTGACACCACTGGATACGGCCAATAGCGATGCTTCAAGAAGCACCACTATTGACTAACCAAATGGCACTCCAGCAAAGCCCAACGCCACGGTGTAAGGTAACGTGCCTAAGGATGAATGAATGACTCTGTACGGGGGGCACTGCAGAGTTGGACCAACCTCTTCCCCCATACTCGTGGGAACAAATATGAGTACAAATAATTTGAATAAAATGGACACCCAAGGAGAAGAGTCGGATACAGACGACTCAGGCTCCTTGAACATAACTGTCGGAGATATTGCGTTAGCTTTGGACTCCGACAACTCAAGGGAAGGAGGAACTGCGAAAGCAGAGGACTCTAACCTCTTAGCAGGAGGAGGATCTGTGAAAACAGACGACTGCTCCCAAACAAAAGGAACGGAGAAAAAAGCAGAGGTTAAGCCTGCTGCTAGACCGAAAAAACCTTCAGGAGCGGAGAGGAAGAAGCTTCTGAAGGAATGGAAAATGGCTGCAGGAACGTGGACGGAGGAAAATCCCCACAAGAATGCAGCCCAAAAAAGAACCCAACGGAGGGAATACCAAACGAAGAAAGGGGATAAAAGGCCCCGATCTGAGGGGTATTCGACTGGCTGTAATCCAGAGAAGACATACATATACAACCCTAAACCAAGCACAAAGAGACTGGATTCGGGAACAACATATCAACTATTGGGGAAGCACCCCAAAACAGGCACATGGAAAAGCCTTCATAGGCAGACCATGTTCCAAAAGATCTGGAGAACTACTCTTAATGAATAGGAACTAGTTGAAAGTGACAACAGGGTTCATGATTGGGCACGCCCCAGTAAAGGGACACTTGAACAAAATTGGTATGTACAATGGGGAACTCATGTGATGACTATGTCACAAGAAACCAGAAATGGACAAACACATACTGTGCGAATGCATAGTTCTAGATCGCAAAAGATAGGCTCTTTTTGGACAACCCCAGGTTGAACCAACAACGTATAGAACTCACTCACACAAGGATCTGTACAAACTTGTACAAGGTACAAAGGTGACAGAGTGGATGCTATGAACTAACATGGGGTAAAACACAATAAGCCAATAGGCTTTAGTGTTATTCGGAGACATAGTCAGACGAGCCCAGGGGAAAAAAATGAACTCGATATTTTGGTAAAATTAGAATTAAATCAGAGAACCAACTGTAGTATTAAGTCCAATTTTGGTGGTTCGCCAATAAAAAGATATCAAATTATGTATCGATCCTAGTAACCTCAAACGTTACTATCCACCCAAAGCAAAAGAAGAAATATATGGTCAAATGAAGGCTGCAAAATTCTTTACATCTTCAAAATAAATAAAAACTATTTCATGTCAAAATTTGTCATCTTTAATTTGGTTGCTTTACGTTTTTGCTAGGAACAGCTATTGTACGTTCCCGCAAGTAGGAACAGTTGATAGCCTAAACAGTAGGCAGAGAAAAATAAGACTGTATGTCTTTCAAAATTGTTCTATTAAGTATCAGTTAAAAAATGAATGAAAAAGAATAAAAAGGTTATGAAAAAACGCTTGAGACCAAATCACTTACCCAAACTACATCTAGGGGGTGACGTGAGAGCTCTCTTTAATTCCGGTATCCAAGGGATGATCCAGGCTTTTTTCTACCACAGGTTTTGTTCTGATTTTACTGATACGAACGGTTTGAAGCACACATTTAAAGCTTACCGGTCTTCGAAACGGTTTATTTCGTACTAACCTTTTCAAAGGACTTTTCATCGTACGAGTCTACAATCGTGAGTCGGTCTCAAAAATACGCGCAAATATATTTTAATCAAACACATCCTAAAATGTCTTTGATTTGAATCTACTAATAGGCAACTCAAATTATAAGTGACATTAATGAGGCTGTTTAATAAATTACCTATCGAAATGACAAAATAAAAATTTAAAATGATTAGGATTCAACAGCTATCATGATGATATAAGTGAAAAACAAACTATGTCTTCGAGACACGTTTAATATTTAATACGTACATTTACACCAATCCGGATAGTGAGCCGTCAAAATCCGCTTGAACGCCTCCCGGAATTCCGTATTGAATATCGAATAGATGATCGGATTGAAGGCGGAGTTCGAATAACCGAGCCAAGTCAAAATTTTGAACGTTATATCCGGTATGCAGGTCTTGCAGAAAGCAGTTACGATGTTTATGCAAAAAAACGGCACCCAGCATATTAGGAACACGCCCATGATGATTCCTAAAAAGGAAATCAACGTTTATATAGGCGTTCAATTTAAAAAAAAAAAAAAAAAAATAATAAAAGAACATCCTGTATATGAAATAATTTAAAATATCAAAATTGGATCTTTCAAGTTAGCACGTACAAAACTTCTAACTTGCAATAATTTATTTTATTGATCTTGTTGTGATTTAAGTGATTGTGTTTATGATCTGTGATTTTAAGGTCGATTATACATAGTAGAATCGAACGTGAACGGACCAGAAGTCGATCCTTGAGGCGCGTCGATATTTACTCACCGACTGTAATGGCGGCTTTGTGATCGCTGACGTGATACGGACTACTGTGATGGTTGTGCAAATGTATGTGCAACGCCTTGTTCTTTTGTTTCGTGCTCTTCTTCTTCGTGGCAGCGTCTGGTAAGTCGATCGGTCTCGTGATGGCTCGAATATTTTTCACGTGTTTCTGAGCATAACAGTACAGCCTACAGTAAATACCTGAAATGAAAAAAAAAAAGGCGTTTAGAAATATATTTTATTTATATTTTACTAAACACCATATACTACTAAATTTTTTTTTTAATATTAATAAAATAGATTTGTTAATGTATAACAAATGCGCTTTCGTTAATATAACAGACAATTTAATAATATCAATAAAAAAGAAAATAAATCACAAAATAATATATTGTTAAATTAACATAAGGAAATAATTTGTCAATAATATCCCATGGGAATTTTATCATATAAATACAATTCAACATTATAATAACAAAATGTTAATATAAAAATTTTGTACTCATTAACAATATTCTTGCTTATTCTTATTTGAAAAATAATGCATTTTTAATATACCTACCAATTTGTGAGGTAAAGTTAGATTATTTTTAACAATTTTATTGAACTTTTGATATTTTTCTGACTGATTCCTTTATATTTTTATTAAAAACTTCTGTAGGATGATAATTCAATCCTCTATCTTTTGGTAAAAAAAATTGAATAAAATATATGAATTTTTGAGCTGTCTAGAATGAAAACCTGTTTAAACTTTTTATGGTAATAGCAGTATCATTTTATTTTAAAGGTTGGCAACACTGAATTGTCATTGTATATGTCATTTGTCACTTGTCAATAAAGAAATGGTAAATTAACTTGTTTTATGTATACATGCGTTTCATTTTGATCATCCGTTAAAATAAATGAACATCATTGTTAAAAATTACATAATCATACATTCAAAGAAGAGTTCATCATTTCTACAAGAAATTATACAAAACCAAATACTCGAATTTCACACATTTCAATTTCATTTGAGAGCAGAGCAATAGCTCTTAAGTAAAAGATCTTATTAAAGCAGAATTTTTTTACTGTACACAGTCTTTCTTTTAGAAACCAAATCGATTGCTCTTTAACTATTAAAATTCGTTTTCCGAAGCCAGCCCTGCGTTATCTGGGGGCCTATATTCCTTAATAAAACATTCACTTTTACGGCTTCGTATTCGGGGATTAACCGGAATCGAAGTTTCGAACGGGACGACCCTAAGTTGTGCCCTTGTTCTTCGGGATATGAATTTCTAAGAGACTACCTACGCGGCGGCGACGGTAACTAATAGACTCAGACGACGGGGGCTGTAGTTGTCAAATTTTAAAGCTAAGTCGAAAGTAATCCTTCGCTAGGACGGGCCTACGTTTTAGATAAATGCTTCTTGGCTAAACTAAAGTTCAGAGAGAACACAATAAATTTTGTACTATGCAATCAGAGTAGTAAATCAGTTATTAACTTTTTTTAGGGGATGATATCTATTCAGATATAAGAAATAACAGTTTTTATTTTATAGGATTTATATTTTTTCAGTATATTATGATATGATACAAACCATTCATGTTGTAGTTATCAAAGAGCATTCTTTACTATTTAAGATCATGAATATCGAACCGTTTAAACCAGGCCTGCACAACATACGTCCCGCGAGCCGCATGCGGCCCGCCATTGTCGTTTTGGCGGCACGTTTGGCCGTTGACCAGTTTTGTCCACCTACGTCAAACTATGCATTTTTACATTATTCAGTAACAAACTTGCATTTAGGCTGACGACCTTTTTTTAGGAAAGCTCGGCAGAATTATAACGTAAAGACCTTTTTTTTAGAATCTAAACAGACCACTACAGGCTTAGGTCTCTCTTGAACCTTGTACGCTTATGGTTTCTCAAACTGGCCCTTTAAGCCTGGTTTAAACCCTCTAGAAACATTCTAAAATTCCTTGTTGACTTACCTATCATAACGATACACGGGACATAGAAGGAAATGCAGCTAGACACTACGGCGTAAGTGGGGGTAAGATCCAGAGCACAGGTTGGATAATTTTGACCTCCCGCGTTGTAGACCAAAGGCTGTGGCGGCCTGTGGAGTCCCAGCGAGATCGGAACGAATGATATTAGGGCAGCCAGTAACCATATGGTGGCTATGGACGCTAGAGCTACTCTTCGGGTTACCCATCTGCCGTACCTGAAACAAAAATAAGTATTGAAGGAGGAATTATATAAAAGAACAAAGATATATTGTCTCAAAATCGGATGAAATGGTTTTTTCTACACCTGCATGGCTATTGGCTTATCTACGCATAGACTACGAAACAAAAAAGTATGTCATTGCGTTCAACTAAACGAATATATTTCATATCCATTCTACCTAGTAAGAACACTGGAAAAAAAATGAAATATACCAATCATAGTTCATATTTTGGTTACCAGCCTGCTATTATATTGTTATGCAGCACCCTGCAGCGGTCGTTATAAGTAAACGTCCGAGTAAAAGAAGATAGAATAGTCCAGAAATTTCTAGAAATGTCATTACTTGTCAAGGAAAATTTAGACAGTTTAAAAAGGACCAAAAAGGGTCAAGCAAGCTATATAAATCGATGATCCTGTCGACAGTTTTCAGTTTTATGATAGACGTTATACGTTAATGTTATCAGTTGTATTGTTATTGTAAATGTTGAGTTGAAATAAATTCAGATACCAAAAACCTGAGTAACAACATTGAGGACATAGAATTTCGGAATTAAGGATTTTATACAGGGTGTTTCCAAATTGCGTACATTAAACTTAAGGGTGTATTCCTGAGCAAATTTCATAAAAAAAAGTCCGGAAACGCTGAATGGTGGCGTACATTTTTTTAACAAAAGTAATTGGAAAGAAACCTCCCGGGACGGCACTGAACCTAATAATTTTAAGCTAGTTAGGGTTAAAGCACTCGCGTATCGGGGACAACACTAATGATTTGTAGTGCGCATGTAGTACGCGTTTTATTTGTACATCGGTGTCCTTTTGACAGAGTAGGTGAGAAGTCGTTGCTTCGTCTTCTTGTTGTCACAGCATTATTATTATTTGTTCATGTATGTGAAATTTGTTTCTAAGGTTTATAAAATACTACTGCTAGTCACGGCGTAAATGAAAACAAACAAGACGCATTCACACAAACACCTCTCACCACAGCAATTACAAATCATCAGTGTTGTCCCCGATACGCGAGTGGTTAAAGCATGCTTTTTTCACTAAAAATAAATCTGTTCCTGAACATAAATCTAACCAATATCAAAAACAGGTTGAATGTAATTTAAAAAATAAACGATTTTTTAAAAAATGTTTAACACCCTGTATCTTTAGAAAAAAACGTTTCCCGACCCATGTTTATATGGACTTTTTTCATAAAATTAGCTCAGGAATACACCCTTAAATTTAATATACGCAATTAGGAAACACCTTGTATAACATTAGGTCTTTTTTTTGTTGTTAATGGATTGGATACTTAACTCTGCATGCAAATTAGAGTAGTTGATATTTTCGACTACGATACCGTAAGAACAATTCTAATTTATTTATTACAATTTATCATTTTAGTCCAATACTTTATTCTAAACTGCTCGTCCGCCGATAAGTCGCGCTATTTATACCAAGTCCAACTCTGTACGAGCCATTTCTAAACTATATAAAATGTCCTAGAATTCCATCTCTATGACTCAACGGAATGTACCGCTTGTTTCTGGTAGATTCGCGAAGCGGACCGATTGTTTCTATACGTCAACGGTGTTTCGATCATGAGTCAGGTGGCAGGCTTGGAGCTCGCTTACTAGACAGGGTTGGCTCCGCGTCACATTGCCCCCTCCTTAAGAAATAGTTCCTCCTGGAACCAAAACTGAATGGTTGTATCTGCAACTGGATCCACTTTTACAAATTCCAGTTGCATGGAAGTAACAAGGGACAGTTTTCGCTATAACCTGAACGCTAGGAGAATGGCCGCAGATCAGTATTTCAACCTGGGTATCTTGGAAGATTACTTCCACCATGTTTTTAATGATCCTCCAATTCACCTAGTTGCTCTCTATTTTTGGCATAGTTAGTTTCTGTACATTGGGCTCCAGTACATGCTTCCTCAGACTGAGTAATGCTTCCCATATATCATGATAGGTGGATCGATCTCGGAAGATGTTCTTCGTTATCAAATAGAAAAGATAATGTGATCCGTCTTGAGGTTTCAATGCTTTTCCAGGGACTGGTAACTGATTTTAAAGTTCTGGCAGTCGACCAAACTTCTTTCGGAATATAGATGCCCGACCTCGAGCGTCGTAGATGTTTGCGCAAGTGTTATGGACCCGCGAGTAATCTTTAGGAACCGTGAACAGGTCTTGTTATTGCTCGGTTGTAACACCATGTCTTGCTTTTCCAGTACCTCCATATGCACCCATAAATTCTTCAAAGACAAGGTCAGGTGGTTCTCGGAGCTGGTTTACTTTATGTCATCCTCAAATGGCGCCAGACGGTTTTGGTGCACTACCTATAGTTTACCGTTTGGGATCTTACTTATACGGTAAATGACATGACAATGATTTTTTCTTAATGAGTTACGGACCTTCCCAAGAACTTTGAAGCCTCGGAGAATAACCCCTTGGTTTTTTTGGGTTATGGAGCCAGAATTTCTTGCCTTCCTTGAAACATCCTTCTTCGTAACTGGATCACATAATCTTCACCAGCTACATCTTCTCCAGGTCGGCACCTAAACTCGAGGTCGCACGGTAGTCTCATCTCATGCCCAAACAGGACCTTTGCTGGTGTTTGGCCTGTTGATTCATTGACAGCGGATCCATAAGCCATTGCAAAGGGCGAAAGATATATTCCAATCTCGCTGATGGTTTGAAACTACTTTTGACGGATATTTGCCAATGGTCTTATTCATTCGCTCTACCATTCCATCGGATTTTGGGTGCAATGCTGTGGTTCTGGTTTTATTCATGCCTAGAGTGTCACAAATTCCACAGAAGAATATCGACTTTCAATATTTCTGCCTTGATCACTGTGGATCTCCAAGGGTACTTCAAATCTACAGATAAACTCTTTCATCAATACATCTGCAACAGTTGCGCCCTCTTGATTGATTGACGTAGACTTTCACCCACTTCGTGAAATAATCTATAACCACCATCATGTATTTGTTACCATTCTCGGTCATTGAGAATGATCCAGCAATATCTAAGGCGATCCTCTCAAATGGGCTACCAACGTTGTATTGCGTCATGGAAGCCTTTCTTTTCCGCTGAGGTCCATTACTCATAGCACAGCTGGTACATCTCTTACACCAGTCCTTTACATCATCGGAACAGTTTATCCAATAAAACCTTTCACGAACTCTCTAAAGGGTTTTCTTAACATCGAGATGTCCTCCTGATGGACTGTCGTGTAACTGACGAAGTACTTTGGCTACCAAATGTCTTCTGTTCTCGGAACCATTATTATTTTCAAATACTCGCTTTAATAAGCCATCTTTGAGGATAAAGAAGTCCCACTGAGCCCAATATGATTTAACTACTGGAGAGAGTTTTGAAACTTCTTGCCAAGTAGGTCGACGATTTTCCTCTTTCCATTGTCGCATCTGCTTTAAAACGAAATCGTTTTCTTGTTCTTCCCTAAGTTTGACAGGGTCCACTCATCGCTGACAACCGACGTTCTTCTTACTGTAACTTCTTTGGCAGATGTGGCCAATCAGAGTTCCTTTTCCAACAACTTCATTGCGCTTCGAAGGTTCTGCCATGACAGGCGTTGCTTTCTCTACAGTTTTTTTCAACCGCGTTACTCTTATGGTTTCACTAATTTCAGGCAACACCGTTTCTTCCTGTACAAACAACGACACGGCTTAACGGTTGCTTCTCAATGAGGGTTTTTATCATGTGAAACAATTGATCCAATTTTTTTCCCTGTTCTTCTTTTACAGTCCTTATTTCACTGTATCCACCAGAAGCTAGCGTAGTCGCTTCATATTCAAGAGCAGCGAACAAGACATCGACCAATGTTTTGTGACGGGCTAAACGAAGTGTTCTTTGCATTTCATGGTCACGAAGTCCATCTACAAATGCTTTAACGGCCAAACATTCAATCATGTATTCCGGAGCTGATGGGCAGGGAAATCGCACCATCTTCTCAATATCTAATTCGAATTCTTCTCAGAAAAGACATTTCGAAAAACACCCTTTCTTCTATGGAAGAAATATTTGACGAAAATTTATTTTCCATAGAAGAAATTTTGTTTTCCAAATCGGAAGAAATTTCATCTTTTAAAGAAGAGATATCAGAAGACACTTTAGATTCTAAAGAAGAGATTTCATTTTTCACGGAAGCAACAGCAGAAGACATCTTTTCTTCTAAGGAAGAAATGTCAGAAAAAACTTTAATTTCTAATGAAGAAATTGAAAAATTATAGAAGATACATCATCCAAAAATAGAAACGTTTCCGGATCCAAACCTTAATTTTCTAGTGCTTTTTTAAGCTCTGATTTCTTACCTGTCGTCTCCTATTCTTCTAGTTCTCGACGCAGCTTAGACACTTTTAAATCACACAGTTTTTTAGCCATTATTATTAGTTTTAGCCACTAATTTCGGCGAATTTTAAAAAATCAATAATAAGAGATTAAGAGCTTAAATTTAAGTATTATATTAAGAATAGTGCTGTTGAGGAATGATTTTTTCTTGGAAAGTGGAAGGAGCTAAAACTTTAAAATATATGCATATTCTAAATATTTAATCACCTTAAGAACACCTTAAATTTGGCATCTATGTTTAATTAGAAAATTAAATTTCTGCCAAGGACGCTTATAATGTAAACTCGTGTTGACTTCAGAAATTTTGTAAACAATAATATCGGTCTTTCTATATATCTATAGTCACAGTAGAAAGCGATTAGGTCATCCCATTCATTTTCAAAAAAAAGCATAATAAATATAGTTCATGCATTGTTATTACTCTCCACTCTATATAGACAGAAGGTTGTCTATATTTCCAAAAAAAAAAAATATTGCATTACGTTTTGACGGATATGAAAACAACACCGAGCGCCAGAGCGTAGCGCCGCACAGCGGGCGTTCGCCCAACCTCAAACTTATAAACGTATTTATGTGTTCGCTAATTAATTGTTTGGCCGGCAATTATTTTGGTTTCGTTGTATGTAATCGAACTTTA